GGGGTCATGGAGAGAGGGTTTGTTGTTGTAAGTAGGTAGAGATATATAGAAAGAGAAAGGGAAAGAGGTAGGAATAGAGAGGGGTAGGGAGGGGGGGAAGATTTGTCATTGTTTTAGATGTTAAACTTTGTAAAGGCCCACTTTAAAGACTTTTGTTTTATTTTTTTTCCTTTTCAGGTTCTTGTCGTTTTATTACCCATAGACTGCTGATGGAGGTTGTGTGAATTCTTCGTCTCGGGGGAAAATGGATGGAGAGTATATATATCTAATTATTTGATAAATAATAAATATATATACATTTTGGTGACATGCTGTGCAGGGAGTGTTGGTCTCAAAAGAGGAGCTGAAACAGAAAAGTTAACAAATATGCGGAGATGGGAGGAAATACTTATTATTTTGCTGGAGAAAAGACTCCAATCTATTGCATTTAGTACACTGATTTGATATCATCAAAGTACTTTTATTTCTTTATACTTACGAAGGTAACACTTGCACATTGCTTTTTGATTTGAAGTTCCTGAAATTCTAGACTTGTAAGTTTACTTTTGTGGAAATGTAACTCTTTTTTAGCTGTAAGGCCAGCTCTGTTTACTGTCTAATGAAAGGCATTGAGGAAGGCTTTTTTACAGATGGTCATCTGCACAAGGAAATCAGAGGCTTTCGCTGCTGTCTGAGAGTGCATGAGTTCACCATTTACGAAAGTGCCTCAAAAACTGTACCGTAGGGAATAGATTCAATGCTGGCTTGAGAGGAGTCAAAAGCTGTGATCAGATCAGGGCATTTGCTTGTTGACATTGTGCCCACTGTTCAGTGCAACATTGTGGTGTTTACATCATGAAATGATGATTTGTGGGAAGACAAAATTTTTTTAATAAAACAAACAAATTGTGGCTGCCAAGTTTCTTGTTTCTCTTTTTACAATTTCTAATACTTGTTGTTATCTGTTATTCATGTTTGATACTATGCATCTTTTCTTGTTTTATTTGCATTTACCAAATTAGATATGATGTTTTCTGTTCTTTGCTGAATTTTTTTCTTTCTGTATCATGCAACCTGAATATAATAACAATGTGGCGAAATATGGAACAGATCTGTTGCCTTGCTAATTTAGACAGAGAGGGATATGTGTAATTTCAATGGGAAAATGTTGTAGACCAACAGGTCAGGGCGGGTGTGAAGAAAGATTTAGGACCCGAAGAAAACACCCTGCAATGTTTGTAGACTGAGTCAGAAGTCTTTTCCTTGACTGTAAGGAAATAGACTGTCCATGTAGATATAAGTTTGTTAATGTATTAGGGAGTGCCTAACATTTTCGGATCTGTGAGGCCATTGTTTGTGAAATATACGTTCTTTTTTTTTTTTACTACTGCATAGGTCTGTTCTATTACTGCTGATAAAACATTCCATTGTGCCTATAATCTAATGCCTTGTCTGTTTTTCTGTGGCCATATTTTCAAGCATGAAAAGGCTGGGGAAAAAGTTGTCTTGATAATTCTGTGGATGATTTGATTACAGTTGTAACAACTTTATGAGATTGGAGTGAGAGAAATTGTCCACGTACTGAAAAGTCAAGTGCAATATTTTGTCTTTTGTTTTTTTCTGTTCAATACTTTTGTTGCCCCATTCCAAATGCTGCTACTTTCCCTTCCAACCACTCGTGCGGCCGTTCCGGTTCTGTTGAAACCAGGGATGGTTGGAGGGTGTTGCTTTTATGTCTTTCTTCTTTCCTCCCCTGTTCCCCAGTGTGTGTGATTTGACCATGATTGTGTGTGTGAGTCGAAGAACTTTGCTCAACCCCAGACAAAGCAACAGAGGAAGAAAATCTTCCTGAAAGAATTGGGCTATATTTGCTGTCCTTGAATGTGTGACTTCGCCTGTCATTTTTGTTTCAAAGCGATTCTGAATCAGTACCTGTGCATAATACATATCATTGTCTTCAGTGTGGTGTAAAGTTTTTATCAAAGGTTCTTATTTTTTAAAACCAATTTACAGGATGTGTTGCCGTAAGTATATGAGCTGCATATTGAAATCAAGAGACATAATTTAATTTTTTAGAGCCTTTTTAGTGAATATCAGTGACACAGGAACTGGCATATAAGACTCTAAAATTAATGTGTGAGTCTTTTCTCTTCTCTGAATAATACTTTTTTTTTCTGAGTACATTCTTGTAGAGTATGGGTTTTGCTCTTGTTTTTGTTGTATGACTCCATGAATGAATATAATGATATGTGCTAAAATGTTATAGAGAGACTTACCATGTTTTATCTGACCTGATGGAGACCAGTACTACAGGGCTATGACATGCAGAATGCCCATTGTATTTCCTTTGGGTTGAAATTATTCTGCAGGATTTGTTTAAATCCAAACATGATTGGCAAAAAAAAAAACGACAAAAGATGTAGAGATAGACGAATAAAAGGTTACTTAAACAGAGAAATGACGAGAGAAGACCAGGATGATACATTGTTTTGGGTTTTTTTAAGAGTATCTGAGCAGAGAAGTGAGTGTCGATGACGATTAATTTCTGTGTCAGATGTGGTAGTCCAAGGAGAAAAATATGTGTGAGGGTACATCATTTTTGCAACGACATGGTAGAATCACGTGCTCATCAAGTTTTGGGCATATTATTATAGAGTTATTGGTATCATCTGAAAACTTGGTCATTTGTCTTGCTCTTGATGAAAAAATACCCATCTGTCTTGAATAGAAGTCGAGATATTTGTGATTGAAGGAGGTGGGGATTGCCTGGTGTCAGAGGTAAAATTAGCGAGAAAATGGTTGCCAGAGTTTGGTGACTTTCAAAACTTTAGTGTCCTTGGAAATTTTTTAATCTACATTTTTTTCTATTGGTTCAATGTTTTTCAGTAAAATTCCTCACTAAAACGTTTTTTTTTTTTAATGATAAAAATTACCCAACAGCAGTTTCTTCAATTTCATTACATGTATTATGACGATCGCCTGGTTTCTCCAAGATTACATATTTTTCTCCTCAGCCAATGTAATGTATGGTCTTCTTATTCATGGTGGGTCCGTGATCTCAGTTTGTACAGTGTGGATTGAAGAATTCCAAGTTTTGATTTTCTGTACGCTTTATCTTATTGCTTGTGTACCACATCTGTGAATGTGGCAGTCCACCTTAGCTGTCCTTATGTGCTTCATTGACAGCTGTGGTAAATTTGAGGTTTTTTATACCTTTGTATTTGAACATAATATTATAGTGGAGTGTATGGTGATCTTAAACCCTAAAACCAGATTTTTGATTGATTATCTGTCTTTGATTTACGTGTGGAGAAAACATGTTCTTGTTGTGTTTTTTATTGCCGCGATTCTTCTGAAAGCTGTTGTCCCAAGCTCAGTTAAAAAAAGTATGCAGCTAAGAAGGCATTTTTCATGTGCTGTTGATGACTTGGTGCAAAATATTTAATGACATAATTTTTTCTGTTTAACTCTTTTTATCCTAGCCTTACCCACGCAGACTCGGTCCCCGTTCTAGGGCCGCTGCGCCATATGAGTCGGAATTCAGTGTGTATATTTCAAAGTGCTGTATTTGTTATGTTTACTCTTAGGTTTTAAGGTAAGGAAATTTGGTAGTTATGTTAGAAATTGAATGTAGTTTTTGTAAATGTATGTGGTTAGGAATTACATCAATTGAAGAATGTAGATTTCGAGGTGTATTCCACCCTCCAACTTGACCCTGATTGCTGCGCATATGACGTCCCATTGGATTTTATTGATCTAGCCCTACCCATCGATACAGCACGCTCGAATTCCAATAGACCTACTGACCCCTTCACCATGATGTGAATCGGTATTAGATGAGTCCAGTTATCATCCACAACAGAATTTATGGCACTTGATTCAGTCACTTTCAGCAAATTAGTCTCATTCCCCCTCACGACCCAGCGCCACTCCAAAAAGTATTTCGTCGGTTGTGAACGTGCATTTTCGAGACATCTTTCAAGCTTCTACTCCAATCAAAAACAAAGAAATCGCTGTTCATTGAAAAATATAAATATTCAGACAGAGCTAGCATGCCGTATTTGCGTATTTTGGTAATTACCAGCAGAACTAGCTTCTCTGACGTGACCGTATCGCTGTTCCGAGTTTACTCGTAGCCCCGACTGGTCCTCGTTGCAAGTATACTCGTAGCCCGGATAAAAAGAGATTGGCAGTTGACCTTGAAGTATCATAAGAGGTTGGCGTACTATTTGTCTTATGTTTCCATCTGTCCCTGTTACTTTTTTTTAGCCCTGAATGACCATTCAAAAAAAAGATTTTATGGAGTATTTATAAATATATTTTTAAAAATGTGATATTTCTGGATTTTGCTGTTGAAACAAATTCTTGGGCTGGGTTCATCCTTTCGTGATGACCTGGTTGCGCTTGTGTCGTGTTTGATTTGTCGTTTTGTGCATTCTTATGTTTTTGTTTGTTTGTGCTGTGGGAGTTTTGTTTTTATTTTTGTTATTTGAAGTTTGTTACTAACGGATACATGACCAGGCTCAGAGTGTCTAGTCAGGTCAATAGGAATGGCTGGACATTGAAGACACTGAACAATGTGTGGCATGAAATATATGTAAATGTTGAAAAAAAAAAGCAAAACAATGTAAAACGAAAAAAAAATTGAATTGATCCTATTTGTATTGATGATTGTAAGTTTAATATCTCTGTACTATAAATCTGTGTGACTCTCTGTGAAGATGTTTGTAAATTTACATATATTTAATTTTTAAATATCTGTACAACCAATCTGTGAGACTGTCTGAGGTATAAAGATATAACGACACCCGAACTGCCTTTACTTTGTACACATGTGTGTTGTTGTCCCAGCTGTTCAATTGTTCCAAGCCCAGATAGCAAAATTTCTCAGGGGAGAGGGGGAAAAAACCCAAACCGTTTTATTTATTTGTGTCACGACCCGTTGGAATCAGGCGCTCGTCAATTTTTGGGCAAATGGAGTTAGTGGGATCATTTTAAAGCTTGTTCATTTGTCTATCATTTAATGAAAAAATACTCAATTAACTTGAATAAAAGTAAAGATATTTGCGATTAAAGGAGGTGGGGGTCACCTGGTTTCAGCCGTAAAATAAGCAAGAAAATGGCCGTCAAAGTTCAGTGACTTCCAAATCTTGAGGGTCATGGAAGCTGAAAATTTACATTTTTTGTGCATGTAATCGTTTTTTTCGAAATATTAACACAGAAATATATTTGAAATGGAGATAAAAGGTGTTGAGCCAAAAACAAAATAAAATTGATGAAAATTGCCAAACTGTCGGGAAAATGCTGGTATCTTCGATTTTTATTAATAAAATTTGACTAGCGCCTGATATCACCACGATGCCTCACATTTAAAAAATTGTATTTTCATTATGTATCTGCTCTTGCTTTTTTCCAACATTTCGGATTTGAATTTTGACAAAATATTCTTCAAGCATATGCAACTGATTCCATAGATAAAGACACTGAAAGAAAACAAAACATTTAAATAAAAAATTTTGACTTCATACAGAATCTGAACAGCTGCCCAATGATATATACATTTAATTACATATATTATTATATGTAGAACTTTTTACTATGTTTTTTTATGAAGCTTCACATGTATATATATATATTGTTATTATGGATCACATGTATATATATATATTGTTATTATGGATTGCTTGTTAGACTTTTTTGCTGATACGACATTTTGAATATTTTATTTATTTTTATTCCTACGTGTCTGCAAAATGTTACATCTCCCTGTTTTGATCAGGGTAGATTGCTGTTGACAGTTGACCTTGTGGTCGGACACATTCCCTCACCTGCTGCTGCCTGCGTGCTGTGATCGCATCACATTTCCACTCGTTTACACGTGCACGTGTACGTGACCCACTACATGTGCCGTGTCCATTCCAGTCATAAGACTAGATAACAATTTATTGATCTCCGTAGAGAGAATTTCGCTACAGCATGGTAAATTCCAGGTAAATATATACATTTTTAATCATGGGATTTCTTCACAAGATGATGTATTTGGCCCTGCTTTACAACATAGGAGAAAAATCAGGTTCGAGAAAATGTTGCAGTTGCCCCGTTTGTGCATGGCACCAGCAATATGTCAGTGTGACCTGTCCTTAAATCACTACACCAGAATTACAAAGTTCTATCTTCTCACGATGAAGTTTAGAGAAATTTTGATGTCAAAGATTTTGAATTTCACAATATGTCGCGCTTTTTCGATGCAATATGTATATGAATATCTCCATAATGTCTTCGAATAATCTTACCATTTTGATAGAGCAGATAGAGTATTTGATTTCTGACCTCATGGTCTTAGTTGTCAGATAGAACTTTGTCATTCTGAGGTAACAAAATGACGGACATGTCTGAGATTCTATCTGGGCTCTGGGAATTGAAATACCTGACCAGGATCAATCTTCAACTTGATCCAGAGTGTCTTGAAATTGCTTTCTTTGCCAATCAGGGATGCCACTTTTCCGCTTTTTTCCGGTATTTCCGGTATTTTGATCCTGATCCGCTATTCCGTTATTGAGATTGAGATAGAATCTATTGTTGGAGAAAAAAAAAATCTGGGTTTCAAATTGATATATTCATATGTCAGCGAGACCGTGGCACGTGGATTTTCAGCTATTTTCAAAAAAGTTGAGTGGCATTCCTGGCCAATATTCTCTATGAAAGAGTAAAGTTTAGTAGCCCAAATTCAGTTAATGAAAGAGACTTTGATGTTTGAAAAATGATAGTTAATGTGTAAATGAGCAATTGTCCCATCTTTTATGTCTGTTTTCTTGAATTGGTTTAATTCATTTTTAATTTTAACATGCTCTAGTTTTGTATTTTTGAACCAAGCTCCACCATTTTTTTGGGTTTTTTATGAGCTATGTAGATTAAGAAATTATATGTTAGACATTTTTTTTAGTCTGTTCTTTAACCGTATCCGTACGTCGTGTTTTACTATAGTATCCATACGGCCTGGAAAACTGTGCCACGATTTTCCATAGAGTGGAAATTAGCTCGTTGAACCGATCCGTACGCTTTGCATAGCAGTCTGTCAAAATGATTTTTTTTAAAATACTGAAAGTTTCAAGAGATCTCACACTAGAAGTATTCTAAAATGTGAAGAATACAACCCCGGGGGTACAAAATGACCCCAGGGCGTACGGATAGGGTTATTACATTGTAACACTAAAATTTGGTTTTGGAATGTACCAGTTTGGTGTCACGTGTTTTGGACCAAGCAACTAACACTCTTTTACAATGTAACTTTTTCCCTGCTGTTTGAAGAATGTTGAGATATGTGACAGAATTAACAAATGTGTCATGAGAGAAATTTAATTTCATGTTTTTGATGTGCAAACTATCTTTAATAAGCTTATATTAAATTACACAACTAATTTTTCCTCTCATGGTTTGAGTCATTTTTATTTCACTCAATCGAAAATTTCTCAGTAATGATGTTTTAGTAAGAATTTTACAGCACTTAAAACACAAATAGGTCATATAAGTGCCAAAGATAAGAGGTGTTACTAAAGAGTAACATACAAAGAATAGAAGGAGGAGAGATAAGGATGACAGAAGTTCAATTGAAAAGAAGAAGCAAACCACACTGCAACAGCTGCCAACCACCCATTTCAATTAAGGATGTGGGTAATTGCATTCTGTGACTGACTGTATGAAAAACCCTGAGACACTTTTTGCTTTGTTGCTAAATCATCAGTTTTCTAAGGTACCAGCAAGCAGTTACACCAAGTTTGGCAATCAGACCACATAATGACGACGTCAGATTTTTGTAAAACAAGTCAGTCGATTAGTGCAAAAAGTTTATTTCATACTGTAAAAAAAAAACCGTAATCAAACACATCACTTTCATGGACAATGAATGTCTGGCACAGACAAAACTTTCGGTAATACTATTAGTACTGGTACATGTACTGTGTTCTGCAAGTTAATACTGTGTTAATAGGGACACAAGACGAGAACACTGAAGAATTCAGAGAGAAATATGATTTTGTAGTAGACTCATGAAATAGAACAGACTTCTGAGGAAAACAAATTGTCCTTAAACTTAAAAATTCTGAAGTATCTATTCTGGATTAGGGGGAGGGGGCAGGGGTTGGTGTTTGTTTGGCATGCAGCATCCTCAAATTTTTAAAATTCATCCAACATACAGAAATAATTTCTATTATATCTCTAGAACTTGACACAGAAAAACTCATCGATGAAAGCAGAAGAGTCACAATACACACAGATGCCATCTCTGTTTTCACTTCCTTTTGCTCGGTAGATTGAACTGTATAATTTGCATAGAGAACAAACTAGAATGTAACCGTCTCGTTAGCATAAAAGTATGAAAAGCAACTTTTAATATCAAAATCGTCTCAACTGAAGGCTGATTTTGAACATGATAGCACCACTCGTGAAATGTGTGTGGACTTGAATCAAGGCAACAAAAGTCGGGAGTTTGAATTTTTTTTTAGATTAGCGAGTTTTCTTACACAAAATTCAATACTACACCGAGTTTAAAATTTTTTTTCTGGTATTTCAATTACGTGTCGAATTTCAGATACGCAGATTTTGTGAGGTGGGGTATAAAGATACGATATCGAGAAAATAGGCTTTAAAGTGTTACAAGCACAGTTAGAGAGTAGGCCTACCTACCATTAAAAACCTGGCATTAAAATAATTCCTCCTAAAATACCAAGAAATCAAATGAAAATTTTTTTTAAAGTTATGGTTCAGAAATGGTAGAACGTAGGGTTTTTTAAAATGGAAACACGCTTTGGTAAAAATAATGATTTCTTTATGTTATTAGTCTGCAGCTTGAAACGATATGGGCTGACTTTTCCTCCCTTTCTCCAGGGGCAAACATATATATATATATATACATACATGTACAGTAATACCGTGGTATAAGGTACTTTCTTTGGACTCAAGAGTTTGAACGTCTTAGCCAAGGTATGTATTAGTGAAGAGGAGAGAAAAATATTAAATAGGACTTGAGGCTTCAGAAAGAGACCGGTACAGCTGATAGTACGTTTTTAACAGTGTACTTTATACTATACCAAATTTTTACTGTATTTCAATATGCGCTCAACCTGTCTGAGACGAGAAAGATCATGTACATCATTACCTTCTCCAGAGCCACTAATGAACCAATCAAACTCATCAGCAGCCTTCTCATTCAGTCAGTGGGGGGGGGGGGGGGGGGGGGGGGGGGTGACTTTTTTTATCTTCTGTCCTACTTCTTCACATTGTCAAAAAAACGCGATGGGCTCCACCTCCACCAGACTCACTCACAAGCCCCAAGATACGGGAGCTTATATTATATGACTTTATTGCGTTGTAAGTGCCATAAAACTCTTACTAGAACTAAAAATCCCCAAGCCAAGTTCAGTTAGAAATTTGTGTTCAAAAAAGGTTTTAGCTTGACAGAACTCAGAAGGGACAAACGAAATATTTCACTGGCAGCTTTGACTGGCTCTACGATGCAGACAACCAGACACATCATAACAGTTCAGCATCTGTTAAGTGCACCATGAATATTAGATGATAATTAATATAATAAATAACATTTGTACAGTGCATATCCCCACTCAACAGCAAACTCTACACGCTTTACATCTGTTTTAATGCCCCAGCAGACCCAAAAACACTCAGAAACAGTCTTGGCTTTCCAGGAAGCATCATACAGTCCAAGCAGCTTGAAAAAAGGCTCAGCTATGAATAAACTGACAAGATCCTATGCTATCTATAGCTGGGCACCCATGCCTACTGTAACTACATGGGCGAAGAGAGGAAAATTCATGTGATGCCTACTGTAACTACATGGGCGAAGAGAGGAAAATTCATGTGAAGCCTTAGTACCTTTCCCAAAGACACAGAGTCGGGCCCCTGACAGGGTTCGAACCCATGACTTTTCAGTTGCGAGCCCAAATAACCTGACCACTAGACTACCGACGCCAAAGATAACCTGACACATGTATCATCAGTTTTCCAGAATTATCTTTTCGTTCTTTTACAAAACAAGGTAACTTCAAGAGTGAACAGTAAGAATATATGAAAACTGATCTAAAAAAAAACATAGGCAGCTTATAATTCTCCCAGGATATCTCTTCATGGTCAGCAACAGTGTTATAATACACCAACACTGTCATCAACAGTAAAGAAATTTAGAGAACTTTACAGTTGTTGAAATGGGTTTCTTTTGTCATTTAAATAGAATCGGCTAAATAAATATGGACAAACTTTCCAACTTTCCTTGCAAATGGGACGTCAACAATTTTTACCTCAAGAAGCAAATATCATTCAAAATACAGTTTCAGTCAATAGTTGAAAAAATCAACAAAGGCAATATTCTCTTCAATAGCAATATAAAGACACATGAATCAAGCTGTCTGAGCTTAACTTCCGACTTAGAAATCTGAAAGTACTTATAATATATGCAAGCAATAGGTACATTTTGAGCTCTCATTTCTTTCATAAAAGACTTCATCAAAAACATTTGAAAACATACAACCCTCCCTCCCCCCAATCAATAAATTCACCTTCGAGAACATCTCATGAACAAAGGCCTGTCAAATTTCTACTCTGTCCCTTCTATCACAAACTTCTCTGTATAATATATTTCATTCTGGCATATAATTATAATATACCATGCCAGAATAAATTTCTCTTTGTGAAGATCAATAACAACATCTTATCTATCTTATCTCTCATATTTTATTAAGTTCATGGCTACACAGATTGCACTGCTCCGACCCAGCAGCTCACAAAAACAACACAAGTTAACGGGGTTGGGCACAAATGAGCCTACTCCCAAACTTTCTGCTGTCTTATTTTTGACTACTTTGTGAAGCAGGGCCAAATACATCATCATCTCAGTCAATGGTGTAAAATTTCCACAAATTTTAATATAAATTATCGTAATATCAACTCAAAATTTGAGTTGATTCGGTCTGTGATAGTTCAATTTAAACAGATTTTACCATCTCCTGTAAAACAGACTTTCTGAGAGATGAACCATCTGGGTCTGACTCCATCAACAAAGAACTCCTCAACAAATCAGCACAAGCAATCTCCCCACATACTGCCAGCATTTCCTTCGTTTGACGACATTCCTGATTCCCGGTGAACAAATCTGTGTCCTGCTGGTGGCTTAACAATTCCCATGTGTACAGTATGGATACAGCTGTTCATGAACAGTTCAGAGCCACCATTGGAAAGTTTGTGATTCAAGTGCATCCTGTATTAAGTACATATTATTACACATTAAACCCGGTAGGCCTAGACTATTATATATGTCAAACCCAGTGGACGTTATATCAACAGAATCAAATCATAGAGACATCAGAATCAGATCATTTGAGAAAAAAAAGAAACTGAGAGAAAGTGTATTCATGTGTATTTTTACAGGCACAACAAGAAGTCTTTTATCTACAAACTCTAATACAAAACAAGATGACACACGCAGGCAAGGCAGGTCTGATCATACAAGAAATCTACAAATACAATCTGTACACTCACACACAAATAAATAAATAAACCCCCATAATTCATATACAATGGCAAGAAGGTTACTACTCATTACAAGTGTGCATTTGGATTTCAGACTTTTCCTCCACAAGTTCAGATTTTGTTGCTTCATCAGCATCAACAATTTAACAACAGTAATAATTACGATAATAATAATATTAATAATAATAGTTCTTCCAGCAATGTCCGACTATGCAGAGGAAAATATTTTTAAAGTGAAGTTGAGGAAACAATAATTAACATGACTTGTGACTTCTGCTAAGGCCAATGAGGAGACCGATTCTGGCTTAGAAGAGTTTGCCACCTTTTGAGCATGTCAAAGCTTCATCACTTCATATTTGTAAATTGTAAATACTTGATTGATCACAAATGATTATGTCCATGACAAGAGAGAAAACTTAGCACCAGTGTTGTGCACCCACTACCCTCGTACGCCCCCAGCATCATCGCCGAGGTCAGATGTATTTGGGTGCATCACGTTCAAACAATTCAACACATTTTTCCATATTTAATTCATCCTTCTGGTAACCTATAGACCTGCCAAGTAGGCTACTCTGATAACATTGGAACTCTCCCATTTTCTTTTGCCCGTTGAAGAACCCAAATAGGATTTGCATGAAACCAGATTTTTTTGCTTGCTTTCTTATTCCGTCAAGTTGTATACGACCTATCGCAAATGACGTGAAACTACCGTACTCATTTTTATACATGTATATTTGCAATATTTGTGCGATTTATCATTAATGACATGGAAAAACAAATTTTTATTTGCACAACATACTTTCATTTGCTGCCATGGTCGCTTTGTTAATGTTGTCTGAAGCTACTGGAGTTATCGAAACTGATTCTTTTTCCCTAAACTCCTTCTCTTCAGGAAGATTTTGTGGAAAACTTTTATGTTACGTCATGGAGGGTTTGGCAGGCCTGTAACATTGCACGTAGATACCCGGACACAAACAAAACAACACATACATTACATTCGTAATATTCACCAAGGGAGAAAAAAATAGACATCACAGCTAAATCTTCTGGAAAAAGTATGCTTTTGAAAGAGTTACGTTTTTGTAAAAGAAAAGATAAAGGACGTTAACATTTTTTTTTACGACCAGCAAAATAAAGAGAGACGGGTCGCACTTTTAAAGAGATCAGAGGAAAAAATAAATAAATTCAAAAGCCCAATAAGGAGACATAAAAACCCTTGAACACGTGAAACAAGAGGGAGAGAGCTTATGATTAACTTCGCTGTTTTATTCAGCGAAAAAAACAACAACCCCAGTGTTACTTTGTGAGGGGGTTATGTTAGAATGGGATCAGACTTGAACCTGGGAGGGGAAATCTTCTATACTGACGGTCGCACGTTGCATAAAATATAAACTTGCAAAAAAAATATTTTAAAAATGATGCCCATCTAAAAAACGAGAACAATCAAAGACTAAATTGTACAAAATTCCCATCACGGCAGAGAGCGGTACCACGTACAAAAATGGCGGCTTATGTTCTCCAATACACCAATATTACAATGACTTATTTTTGCTAAATGCATCGCTGTATGTTTTCACACACAAGTTTTAAAAAAGAACTTTGTTTAGACCAAATGCATCTGAAAGGGGGGGCTGTCCTTCTCTGGACCCAAAAATAGATCCTTGAGAGAGACAGCGAGGCAACAGAGAACCACTGGACCCTCGTGTGAGGTCACTCCTGGCTGGCCGAATCCTGAGATGGCTGACCTCTCCCGGAGTTTCGCCCTGCAGATGGAAATAAGTTACTATAAGAGTTAAACAATTTACAGAAATTTAAAGCAAAGAACAAATGTCGAAGACGTCCACCTTTTTTTTTTTACATGGCATTGGGAGCAAGGGCACACGCTCAAACGCTACTGGATTAACAGAAGCGACGGACACTACACAAGCCCTGCAACTGATCATAAAGAAGTAATGAATTGCGTCACACTAAATACTAAATCATTGACATTTATTTTTCAAGGACACTAGTGTGCACCTTATCTGTGACTAAAACTGCACAAACTCTTTAAAAAAAGTAAAGAGTATGCCTTATTGAAAATGTACAATAGAGTTGCAAAATGGTTCAAGGGTGCCACAGGGATGCCCTTTTTTTACCACTGCCTCTGCTGCCCATCTTACTTCGTCAAAGTACTTTAATGATCATTATCAAATTGATGTGTGTTTCTCTTTACTAAAACAAAACAAACTATAAGAGTGTTCCATCGTCTACTGCCTCTGCCTATGTCCTCCCACACTCACCCGTTCAGAAATTTACGACTAAAGTTAAGGAGGTGGGGAGTCAGCTGGTCTGAGAGATATATTAGCAAAGAAAATGACAGTCAAAGTTTGAGACTTCCAAAGTTTGTGAGTCGTTCTGAGTCTTTGATCAATGTTTTTCAGCAAAATCCACGCAAAAACGGGTTGTGAAAAAAAAATTGCCCAATGGGTGGAAAAATGTCAGTTTCCAAACCTGCATTTTTTAAATGAACCTCTGATTTCCCCATGCTGCCACACAAATCCTTCCTCGTCTACTATAAAAGTGTTCCCTCTCCACTGCCCAAGCCTATGACCCAGAAACCTATGTCCTCCCACACTCACCGGTACGTATCTGAGACAGGGATGCCAGGACACGTAACATAAACGCCGCCGGCACGGTGACTGTGTCGCGGGTCTCTTCCAACATCAGCTCATTACGTCGCACGATCTGTCCCAAAACAAAAACAGAAGTGATGAGAACCAACGCATCTATTTACCTGCCCTGCACTTAGCAACCTCCGTAGCATCTACCTACCTGCCTCCCCAGATATCAGAAATACTCTATACAGCGACAAAACACAGCTGATAAAAGCCTGTAAATTCTTTGCCATATCGACGGACCGAAGGGCTAGAACTCAAATGGCCACTGGATCGGAAAAGTAAAGTAAAGTAAAAGCAAAGAATGAGAACCAACGACTTCGTTATCAGCAGAATCTTAGCAAAGAATGCAAAGCAGTAATATGAAGGTTTTATGCTCTAACTGCAAAACTGCTTTCTTGAAAATTTTTCACTGGGCAAAAAAAATCACTGATGAGAATAGACACCAAAGTTAGCCCAGAGTACAGTCAAACTTGCTCTAAAGACCACCTGTCCAAAACGACCTTCTGTCTTGGACAATTTTGAATGCATTCATGATCTGGTCCAATCGGTTATTGTAGAGGGGGGGGGGAAATTCCACATCATTGAATTTTTCAGTGGTATTACATTTTCCACAAACGGAATGAATATATCCCTTTCATTGTTTTGGTGCTTGGAAGTAAATTGTTGGTAAAGTAGCTGTCTTGGGACTATGGATAATTTGTTTCATAGTCAGTACAGGACAGTTGCAGATTAGATTGTAATAGTACTTCTCATTAATCTACATAATGAACAATAGTTCTTCGTTGTTGTTGAGAAATTCAGGAATGTTGTAAACGGTATGATACAGTGAACTAATAGGGTTATGCTTTATGGTGAAAACATAAATATCCCAACAAAGATTACAAAAATAAGTTGACGACCTTGGAAGCGTTTCCAAAGACAGAGCACACGGCAAGCACTCACAAAGACACAACACGCTACAAGCACTCACAAATCACAACACGCCACAAGCACTCACAAAGACACAACACACGGCAAGCACTCACAAAGACACAACACACGGCAAGCATTCACATAGATACAACACGCCACAAGCACTCACAAAGACACAACACACGGCAAGCACTCACAAAGACACAACACACGGCAAGCATTCACATAGACACAACACGCCACAAGCACTCACAAAGACACAACACACGGCAAGCACTCACAAAGACACAACACACGGCAAGCACTCACAAAGACACAACACACGGCAAGCACTCACAAAGACACAACACACGGCAAGCACTCACATGGCAAGCACTCACAAAGACACAACACATGGCAAGCACTCACAAAGACACAACACACGGCAAGCATTCACAAAGACACAACACGCCACAAGCACTCACAAAGACACAACACACGGCAAGCACTCACATGGCAAGCACTCACAAAGACAGAACACACAACAAGCTCTCACCATCTCGGCTTTGTCGCTGTCAAACTGCGCGTCTTCCTCCATGGGCATCCAGATTTTCACATCGTAGTCAATGCCGCTGGAAGCTAACACTGTTGTGAGATCGTGTAAAGTCATTTAGAGGTGGGCTACACTGAACTAACACTGTGGTGAGATCGTGTAAAGTCATTTAGAGGTGGGCTACATTGAACTAACACAGTGGTGAGATCGTGTAAAGTCATTTAGAGGTGGGCTACATTGAACTAACACAGTGGTGAGATCGTGTAAAGTCATTTAGAGGTGGGCTACATTGAACTAACACTGTGGTGAGACCGTGTAAAGTCATTTAGAGGTGGGCTACATTGAACAACACTGTGGTGAGACCGTGTAAAGTCATTTAGAGGTGGGCTACATTGAACTAACACTGTGGTGAGACCGTGTAAAGTTATTTAGAGGTGGGCTACATTGAACTAACACTGTGGTGAGACCGTGTAAAGTCATTTAGAGGTGGGCTACATTGAACTAACACTGTGGTGAGACCGTGTAAAGTCATTTAGAGGTGGGCTACATTGAACTAACACTGTGGTGAGACCGTGTAAAGTCATTTAGAGGTGGGCTACATTGAACTAACACTGTGGTGAGACCGTGTAAAGTCATTTAGAGGTGGGCTACATTGAACAACACTGTAGTGAAACCATGGGAAGAAAGAGCTATTTCAGCATGCAAAGTCTACCACTATCTGACCATAGGTAGAAATGCGAAACAATTCGTAAGCTGGTGGGCAGATAAAAAAAAAAGACAATCCGAAAAAAGCAAGGTGGACAATAACATGTATTCTTTTATTTTGGTTGGTGTTTTGCGGTGCTTGCAACCTTATAAGGCTATAATATGAGCGCGCGGGATACATTAAGCATTTTCAGTTTGGTACGAATTAATTTTGAATTATGCCCGGGTGGTGGCTGAAGCCTACTGTTATCTATTTTAGGATCACCAAGGGATCTTTAACATGTGCAACTTGCACAAAAGGCCTCCAAGATTTTTTTGTCCTTACGAAAGAAGGCTAGGTGTTTGATCTTACCAACCCTAAGATCAGGCGCGTGGCTGAGGACAATAACAATCAAATTCTGTTCTGAACAAAAGTTGCACTTGCAAAACAAGCGTTTCAATTATTCATTTCATATCTCCGCAGACTGAGAAATCAGAACAAAACAGCTGTACTTAACATAAGTTGATCCCCGGCAAAAACATGGTTCAAGTTCAATGACAACAATATTTTACAACAAAACACATCAGTAGTTCCATCTTAAATTAAAATTTTCATTTTTTTGGGGGGAACAAGGAGCATAAAAAAGACTAACATGATAAAGTGTGTAAATGTTTGAGTGTGTAGCACTGTTTGAGCAAGTAGAGGCTATGTAAGTGTGTTGCTAGATGAGCGTGAGGCAAGCACAGACCGGGGTAGAACAGGTTTGGCTGTATACAGTTGACTACGTGTTTGTCCAAAGTGTGAAGTGCTATGTACGTGTGTATCTGTGTGAAGTGCTATGTACGTGTGTAGCTATGAGAAGTGCTATGTACATGTGTATCTGTGTGAAGTGCTCTGTACGTGTGTATCTGTGTGAAGTGCTATGTATGTGTGGATCTGTGTGAAGTGCTATGCACATGTGTATCTGTCTGAAGCGCTATGTACATGTGTATCTGTCTGAAGCGCTGTGTAAGTGTGTATCTGCGTGAAGTGCTATGTATGTGTGTATCTGTGTGAATTGCTCTGTACGTGTGTATCTGTGTGAAGTGCTATGTATGTGTGTATCTGTGTGAAGTGTTATGTACGAGTGTATCTGCGTGAAGTGCTATGTACGTGTGTAGCTGTGTGAGCGAGAGACAAACACTGACCGGGGTAGAACTGGTTTGGCTGTATACAGTTGACCACGTGTCTGTCTGCGTCCATGTACATGACCATCCTGCCCGTTTCCCTCTCCCAGGCCAAGATACGGCCGCAGTCGGAGCCGGACATGACAAAGTGATCCCCGTAGAAGTTCGCCTCTTTGATCTGAGGAAATCACAATCTCACTGCAGTGGAGTACGCTTAAACCAATCTTACTGCAGTGGCGTACGCTTAAACCAATCTTACTGCAGTGGAGTACGCTTAAACCAATCTTACTGCAGTGGAGTACGCTTAAACCAATCTTACTGCAGTGGAGTACGCTTAAACCAATCTTACTGCAGTGGAGTATGCTTAAACCAATCTCACTGCAGTGGAGTACGCTTAAACCAATCTCACTGCAGTGGAGTACGCATTAACTGAAATCTATGGGACTGCCTGATTTTCTTGCTATAGCCTAGTTTTTGGTTTAAAGAGATTGCTCAAATAGCGAAGAAAAAAAATTGGGATTCTATTTTTTTTTTCCGATTTACCTTCGATACAAAACAAACAATAAAAAACTTATCAATCTTTAACCCATGAAAACATTTGATACCATATAAAAAAATATCTGTGAATGTGGTTCAAGGAAAGTTATTTAGAATTTTCTTCACTATTCAATCAGACTACAAAGGGCATTTTTTAGGGCACAGTGATTAGCTTTCAATCATAGCTCAGACAGATACAAACTCTTGCAGAAAAAAAAAATGGTTAAGAGTTTGAACTTTTCCCTTCTAGATACTGAGAATGTTTGATATGGACAAAATTCAAGGACGCAATCTTACTACAGCAAAGGCTGGGGCAGCAGATTCATAACTTTATTTTTCTGCTCTTAATTAACGAAAGAAATTAGCACAAAAAAAGTGAGCAACAAAAATACAGGTCCAGTATTCTGTTTCATAGTCTACTTCTATAGGCTGAAACAGCACCTGGAATTGGATGGCTGGTGCCTCTATATATAAATCATTGATGGTCAAGTCTACATCTAAATAAAATAAGTTTTACATTATCAAACAAAAACTGTGCCAATGACAACTCAGCACTGAGTCAAGCACTTCTAAAACGAGGCAAGTTTGGGGGGAGGGGGGGGAATGCAAGGTAACTATCATTTGACAGCAGAAAAAAAGTAGAGTAAAAGAGCCCATAAGGACCATACCATGGTGCGACAGTTGCGATGCCCTGAGTATTTCATCAGCACTTTGGCCTGTGGTACCTCCATCACCTTGGCCATCTCTCGCGCTTCTCGTTTTTTCCGGTAGACTTCCTGGATCTTCTGTGCTGCGCGGCTCATGCGGTCACTGTCGGAGCTCATTCTGAGGGAGGGGCGCAAATAGAAAAACTCATTCTCTCCATTCAAAAAATTTTTTAAACGAATGTTTATAAAAATAGAGTGATTTTTTAAACATAAACCCAAAACGCTAGAGCCCCGGGCTTGCTGGTTGTTTACAGTTGGAAAAATAATCTTCCAAACCTCATCAAATTCATCTGAACTATAATCAAACCGTATGTTTACAGATTGGATTATTCATTTCCACTAAGTTTGAGGTTTAAACAGGTTAAGTTGGAGTGAAATTATAGAAACATTTTTGATGCTCAACACTTAAATTTAAAAAATTGGCGGCATACAAAAGAGCAACGACCTTTGGTGCACTAAGAGTTAATTCTTGTCTCGAATCTTTGCATCGTATGAACAAAGACTAGGTCATAAAAATAGGACAGCAATAAAACCGTAAGACTCTTATCAAACTGAAACTGACAGTTTCTAGAAATGCAATCTGACATCCTCCAGACAAATATTGATACAGTGGAGTCCAAATTTACTGAAAATGGAAAAAGTTTCTCATATCTCACTTCCTCTTATTGTTGCTGAGCTCGGGCTGAGGGTCATCGCCGTCATTATCGTCATCGTCCTCCTCATCATTCCCATCCAGCTGAAAGTCTCCGGTGGGGGGCAGGCTGTGACCGACTCTCCGGTGTCTGTCCGAGCCTGGGAAGACATGGGCGACTCACGTGTTCACACAGGAAGAACCACACAATTCAAAGATTGTCACAACTTTACTCTAAAGCTTGTAGGAGCAGTCTATAGACATAATGCATGGACGAAGCACATGTTCTCTTCACATGAAGAAAGACAACCCTGACCCAACTTTACGCTAAAGCTTGTAGGTATACTCCTACGACCTAATGAAGTTGCCACCACTGTAACACTCTAATTAAACTGAAACTGAAAGTTTGTGGAAATGCAATCTGACATCTTCGTGACAACTATACAAAGGAGTCTGTCCGATTATGTCCAACATGTTAACCCAAAAACAGTGGAAAACCGAAGGATAATGAAATCCTTGATTCATTTTCTTCTAATTGAATAACCCCTTTAAACCAAACAAAATTCTGTAGCTCCCCTGATTTTGATTAAAGAAGAGTCCACAGTATATGACAGCTGCACTGTGGCACTCAGTTAAGCAATCATTCCGGCTGATTATTAACACCCCCCCCCGATAACTTCAGAGACTATAAACAAGTTCCCTGAGTCTTACAACACCCCACCATGAGATGAGTGAAAGGAAATGTGAAATGTGCACAATGTGTAAAGAGAGAATCCTAGAAAGAGGAACACAGAAGTCGTTGTTTACAATGCATGAGTATTACGACAGCCATCATACTTTGTGGGAGGAGAAGTACGAGGAGGAGGAAGAAGACCACAACTGGGACATATAATAACAACACAAACAAAGTAAAAATGTATATGTTAAAAAAATAACTCCTGCGACAAATTACCAGAAGGAACAGAAGATGAAAACTGCAAAAAGCCCTAATAATTTAAAAGAATCATACCAGAAAAAAGAGAGTGGTACAGAAATATCAACACAAGAAAACTGAAGCTTTTCTACAGCCTTTGTGTCATATTTTAGAGCAGACAGAGATAACTGTGCGACTCACCCGACGTGCTTGCTCTGAACCCTGGCGTCGGATCTTGCAGATCTTTCCTGTCTGGGTGAGCGTCTATCATGGGCTTACTGTCAGTAGGAGGAGACGGAGAGAACAAGGATCTGGACGGTCCACGTGTTGAGTCATCCGTATCCTTACTTGAGATTTCTTCCTGTCTAGAACTTGTAGTGCAGCCAGACCCAAACATCCCCTGTTCTTTAGCGGAGAATCTCATCCGCCCGCTGTTGTAAGGCGAAAACTCCGCAGCCGTCTTCCCAGCCTGATGGGCAGCTTTGGCCGATGATTTCCCCACTCCTTTGCCTTTGCCGTCCTTCTTCCTCCCCCCGAGAACTTCCTGTTCCAGGCTTCTGTCTGAGTCTTCCTCGCTGATGCGACCCAGAGAGTTCCTTTGCCCTGCCCCCACCGCCCCGTGCCCCACCCCCCACAGACTCTCTCGCTCCGTCTTCTCCAGACCTTCTTTCACTCCCTGCTTCAGCTTGGCACACTCCGCACACAGGGACGGAGCAGAAAGACTTCTTACACCGGGGACCAGTTCTACACCACAAACTTTGCAGACTTGAGATTCTGAAGAAGGCACTGATTGTGCCACATTTACTGTCCGAGTCTGTGCATTTTCTGAGCCACTACACGCAGTTGTCTTGGCGTGTGTGCTCTCTGTGTCTGTCCACTGTGTTGCTCCGAAGTGAGTAATCTCTGACCTGTCACACACTGCAGCTTGACCTGTGTCAGGGGACGCGACAACGCAGCTGTGCTGGGATGGAATATCGGTAGACAAACTACTTGACTGCTCTACAGAGCTCTCAGATATCCGCACATTGACCGTCAATGAGCTTATGTTGTCGTCGACATCATCAAAGGGACGACTGTCCTGGCGCTCCGACACTTGCTGTGGTGCAGGTGGGGACGGGGACACCTCTGCATGTACGGTGCTGAGAGCCATGCCCGAGCTGAGGCGGGAAGGCAGGTTAGATACATCGTCCAGTGAACGAGGGTGAGCGTTACCTTCGTAGGTGCTGTGCATCGGCTCAGCCACAGCCACAGTGCTATCAGACCATGACAGGGACAAGCCAGAGAGAGAATCCACAGCTTTGTTGGAGGACTGCGAGGGGGAAGGGGAGTCGGACGGGGTGGGAGCACTTTTGTGGGAGGAAGTTCCTGGCTTATCCCCCCGAGTCTCTTCTAGACGTCGGTCTGCCAGTCTCTCCTGCCCACGACCCGGTACAAAAGAGTTCTCCACAGGAGGTAACTTCACAGTTGTGACAACCTCCCCATCTGCCGTAGCGGTAAAATTCTTCGACACGCGAGCGCTCTCAACTCCGGCCAGTGCAGAAGTTCCTCCAGCGCTATCGTCAGCCACAAGTCTCTGAGCGTGAGCTGGTTGTTCGTCACCGTCTCTCCGGGCGGGGGTCAGCTCTCCGCTGTCACAACATCCAGCTGGACGACCAGACGACGGTTTCATACCACACAAACCAGAAGACATCTGCTTCTCGGAAATACTGTCACTGTTCCCCGATCCTATATCAAACGGGGCTATATTTGAGCTTCTACTCCTACGCTCATCAGTATCTACATCAAAACTGTTACCGTCATTCTCTACTAAAGTCTCACTTACAGACACATGCACCGACGAACCACTATGACCAGCACCAGAAATGTCTGACTTATTCCCCGTGAGTCTCATCACACAGTGAACGTCTTCCCTCGAAGTGGCGTGGCTGCCACCAAAGGCACTAAGGTTAACACCGCAATCTGTTAAGCTTTGACCACAAGAGACAGTCTCTGAGACAATACTGTCAGCGACAGTCTCTGAGACAACACTGCCAGCCATGTCCTGCCCTTGTGTAGACTTCCCCCCACTGTCTGTGTTTCTCACTTTCTTCCCATCGGCCGGGCAAAGACTGCCGCTCCCTCCCCGAGCGCCAGAATCGACCCGTCCTTTATCCATAACTTCATCCACAGACGACACCACATCCTGGGCAGGGGTGACCATCTGCCCTACTTGCCCACTCTCACTGTTGTTCTCTGCACACACAAACTCGTCAGGCTGCTCAACTGTCAGTCGGGCAGACGCCAAGATCGCATCACTGTCATCTCGTCCCGTCATACCAGCAACTGAGACCACAACCTTCTTTCCATCCTCCTTCTCTCCATCCTTCTCCTCCACACCATGTTCACCTGTCACAGTTTCCCCCTGTCTATCACTCTGAGTGTTGCTCAATCCCCCCCTGTATGGAGCCTTAAAAACCTCCACATGAGAGGTCACTGCAGTGTGGTAAGACGTCGCTTCCGTGCCAGACGGTGCGGTCAGCTCACTTGAATTCCCGCTGTCTAGGTCCCGCGAGGATATGTCTGGCAACCCAAGACCCTCGCTGGGGACAGTGTACCTGGCCACTGCCCCTCTCTCCTGGCCGAGACTCTGTCGTGCTGCGGCCGCGCTGGGAGAGGAGAAAATGACGGACCTGAGAACAGCGGCAGCGTCAGCCGAGGCTGAAGTCTCTGGACCCTCTGTCTCGTTCTCCGACCGAGCCTCTGTCTGTGAGTCTGTGTAGGAAACATTGCAATAGAACAGGATGAGTGAAAAAAAACAGGATAAGCTTTGTCTAAACAATATCAGAGTGCTAGCCCTTAACTTACAAGAATAACTATGCAGTATCTCTATGGAGTTGATCAGATGAAAAACAACATAGGCATTAACAAGCTGTATTTCTACAACAGAAAATCAAGTTAACAACAAGAAAAGTCTATCCTAAAAAAATGTTCACATACAGTAAGCCGTGGTAGGATTAATGTGATTTATCCTGTTATTTCCTTCACCCCTTCAATTACTTTCTTTACTAAAGTATTTATAATATGAATAGGACTCAACAATTCTTGGACAGTGTTATCACATTACAGAAAAAAGGAAAAGGGGTTAAGTAGGGAGTGGTCGTTTGTACAGGTGATTGTCTTGATCAGGTGCTCGTTTTAGCAGGTTCGACTGTATTGCTGTCATAATGCAAAACTAAGATGCAAATGACTGATACTGTACACACAAATCAGCTAGGGTACTTTTCTTTTTCTCCCAACACAATCCATCAGGCATATCCCCATGAAACCCCCAAAAAGAAGGTAGCCTCTTTCCAAACCTTGTCCGAGAAGGCTAGGTGTAGATCTTACCTACTAGAAGATCAGAGGTGCGGCTGAAAGACAGCAGTAAGAAGGAGCCAAGGAGTAGCAGTAAAGGGCTACAGAAAGAGTCAGGAGCCCAGAGGAGGGAGCAAAGGAGGCAGAAAGTGGAGGCGAAAGCAGATGACAGAATATTGCTAGAGAGCAGGAAAGGATGTGACAGGAGATAACTATAGAGAAGAACATTTTCCGTCGCCATCTGGATTCGACCCCGGGACCTTTGAATGAGAAGCGAACACCTTAACCTCTAGGTCACGAGAGCCCCCCCCCCCCCCCCCAGCAGTCTCAGACATTGTGAACACTCCCAGAGTTTACTCAACAGGTCATTGTACCTCCTGGCTGACCAGACTCTTCTGTCTCCTCCTCTCCCTCTCCTTCTTCTCCCTCTCCCCCCTCCCTGGGGCCTCGGTCAGATCGACTGTTCAGCATGCGTGTGAGGAGATCAGACATTCGTTGCATGATCGTGTTGGTTAAGGCTGAAACAGCAAGAAAATAAAGCACAAATCATCATGTAATTTTTCCATCTTATTGATTAAGGCTGAAACAGCAAGAAAATATAGCACAAATCATCATGTAATTTTTCCATCTTATTGATTAAAGCTGAAACAGCAAGAAAATATAGCACAAATCATCATGTAATTTTTCCATCTATTGATTAAGGCTGAAACAGCAAGAAAATGAAGCATACATGACCATGTAACTATTCCATCATATAGGTAAAGGCTGAAACAGAAATTTAAAAAAAACCCAAAAACATACAGTGTAACACGAATAGCTCTAATTTATCGGGCCTGGCCTCGATAGTTCGAGGGATCCATGGTTCGAGGGATATCTTACAAAGATACAGAAAAAAAAAACCCAGGACAGCAAGCACAGTTCGACAGATGCATGATTTCGAGTCTTCTGTGTTCGTCCTATCCGTGTTATACTACATATACAGCCAGCATTGTCCAAACGGGCCACCAATTGTCGAGAATACTGTGTCAGGCAGGTGGGACTTCTTGGACAGTGTCATTATAATGTTTAAAAATGCAGGGGGGTGGGAGGGGGGGGGAGTGAAAAATGGTCATTTGCACAGAGGTGATCGTCTTGCACAGAGGTGATGCTATGATCAGGTTGGACTACATTATATGACCACGTAACTTTTCAATTCCCTGAGTGGAAATGAATATGCAATTACTGACGGTTCCCAAAATAAAGAAGCGTCTTCCTGTGTGACCGAGAAGTCTTTCACAAAACAACAGTACAACACAACATACCACAGTCATGTCACCAACAGGGAGGGGGGGAGGGAGGGGGGGAGGGAGGGGGGGAGGGGGGGTCACAGTGAGGTTGTAACTATCTATGCCTCAAAGGAATAAGGATACAGTGCACTGTGATTGTTGCAAAGCATGAAGATGAGGAGAAAGGGGGCAAAGGAGGTGAGGGGGTGGGGGCAGAAAGTAGAGATGAAAGCAAACGACAGAACATAGCTAGAGAGAAGGAAAGGAGTGAAAGGAGACAATTTTAGAGAAGAAAATGTTTCAATCACTACCCGGATTCGAACCCGGGACCTTTGAATAAGAGGCAAACTCTTTAACCTCTACGCCACGAGAGCCCCCTAGAAAGGGGTTAAACTTTACTTTTGCCCATGTAACAAATGAGGAAAAGGCGTGGAGATAAATAACTATCATCTCACCGGGCTCTTCACTCTCGGGTCTGGCGTCGGGGCCCGTGTCCGACCAATCACCACGCAGCCTGAGACGTTTGATTGGCTTGAACAGATTCTCCGAGTCGGAGCCGTTGTCGGAGGGAGAGCCCCCCACAGCCCCCACCGCACCCTCGGCCGACGCCCTTGAGGTGCCCGGGCTCGCACAGCCGCCAAGGTCACGGGACTGACTCACTGGCTTAGAGGTTACTCCGCTTGGCCCGGGCTGCTGAGTTGTGAGATACACACGTTACAGGTGTTTGTTTGTTGGTTTGTCTGTTGGTTCGTCTGTCTGTTTGTTTCTTTGTTTGTCTGTTTATTTGTTTGTCTGTTTGTTGGTTGGTTTGTTTGGCTGGTTCGTTTGTTTGTCTGTGTTCGTTAGTCGGAGTAAAGAGAAGCACATCGACACAATAACGGTCGTTTAGGGCTGGGAAAAAATAAGACAGACAGACAGACAAACAGACAGACAGACAGACAGACAGACAGACAGACAGACTGACAGAAGGAAAGTAAAGGAGTAGGACCTATCAGTGGCACTTTGTTATCCTACTGTAAGAGATATGTAATGTAAGTGTAACAATAAACGGCAAAAATCTTGTCAGTTTGTTAATATTTTAGTGCAAGTAATCTGCAGCTTGTACTGTAAGCTTCCTGTGATATTTCTGAGTATTCTAGGGTTTACTGGGGTAATAAAAGTTGTAAGAGCACAGAACATCCAAAGTGCGGCATATACATACGATTGCTATTACTATTATTATGCTACGAGTTTTGTTTTAGAAAGGGTTTTACGGCACTTGAAAGACAATAAGGTCATATGAGTGCCGAAGATTAGAGGTGTTACAAGAGAGTAACAAACACAAAAAAGAAGGAAGAGAGATCAGGATGATAGATGTTTGATAGGAAAGGAGCAAACCACACCAGAGCACCCACCAACCACCTAAATGTTACAATTCGAGGTACAAATTCTAGGTAGTGACATATAAAGTCAACGTTTTCCATGGTAGAAGTCTGACAGAAAAAAAAAGGAGCAAACAACAGCAGAGCGCCTGCCAACCAACCCTTCCTCCATCTGTGTACCTGAGTGGAGTATGTCTGCTGACATCCCGTCTGGTAGGTGTTGAACAGATAGATGTTCTCTGAGGAGTAGTTCACTAGCAGGTCGTGGGAGCCGGGCCGGTAGTTCAAGGACGTGATGCGGTAGTGGCGCTTCTCCCGCCGGGTCGTGGGGCACGCCATGGTGCAGATCAGGCTCTCGTTGGCTCCTGGAAGAACACGAAGCAAAAACAGGTCACAAATATAGGGCAAACAAAAACAAGTTACAAAAGTGTAGCAATTATGTCCAATAAAAAAACACATTTCTGTGTGGATTTTACTGAGAGACATTGACCAAAGGAACAAAAAATATGTAAATTTCCAATTTTCAAGTCCATTCAAGCCCTAGAAGTCACCAAATTTTGACAGCCAATTTCTGGCTACTTTAACCTCTGACAAAAGCCAGCAAATATCTCAACTCATATTTTATATAAACAGGAATTTTTTTCCCCAGAAAGCAAGAAAAATGAACAAGCTTTTAATTGATACCACTAACTCCATATGCCCAAACATTTACCAGTGCCTGATTTGTTGTCATGATACAACTATATCTGGATCCACTCATGATTTTTACAGAGCTATTATCAAATCTCAAAAGCTCAGATCTACAATACTTTTTTCCCTTCAAAAATAGAACTGAACACACAGCTGTGTATAAACTGTGCTGAATGCCTGCACATATAAATCATAAATACTAAAACAGTAGTAAATAGTTCATGCTATTTCCACTTCCAAACCTTCAGTCGTTTTGCAGGTCTCTCAGAAAGTTACAACCAGTTAACTGTAATATATAACAAATTACTGCAAAAACTTTAAAAAAATAAAACAACAGAAGTCATACTCGTTTTGTTTTAGTAGATGTTTTATGGCGCTCGCAACTGCATAAGGTCATATGATCGCCAAAGTCATACTCCAAAATGACTGAACTCGACAAATAAGCTGACGAGTGCTAAGGGGTTAATGAAAGAACTGACCTCCAGCGTCGGTCGTCTTGAGCATGCGTCTGTCATAGAGTCGGACAATCCCGTCGGAGGCAGCCACTGCCAGCTGGAAGGGAATAATTGGGTCGGCAGCTATGGCAGTGATGGCGGTGCGCAGGTGAATCACCACATCCTGGGGACGATATAAACAGACCACTGGTCATTTGGAACAAACCAAAGTCGGCGACTTTTCAGTGCATGGTTTCATTTTGGTCAAATTCTAGGAGACATGATAAAAAGACCAAAGAGAAATAGGCCTACTTGTAAGAATAACCAAATTATATTTCTCCAAAACAATTATTTTAAGTACAAAAAAATAGAAGTGAAGAACAAGGGGGAAAAAGGGTTATTTCACATATATCTATGGAAAATTTTACCCAGATCATCTGGGTATTTTTTAAAGAAAAACATTGGACAAGACAGAGCAGTAATGCTTCAAAAAACAAAAGAAATGACCGAGTTGCATAGTGGTAAAAAAACATCTTTTGAGCATCCATTTTCATTATTTTGTTGCTAGTAAAAGGCTACAGCAAATCTTGAAAATAATGAATATTTAATACATAGTAATATCTATAAGTCACCCGAGAAACATTAATTCGTTTTATATAAAAAGAACTTATAATACATCGTAATATCCATAAAAATCTCACGACAAGCCTTAATTAATTAATTTTATATAACGAACTTATAATACATAGTAATACTCACAAAGTCATATGAGAAACCATAATCTAATTAACATGCTGAATTTACAACACATATTTATATCTATAATTCATATCTGAAACTAATTCCACATTGTGGCTTGCAAGCTTCAGCTGTGGCCACCACAAAGGATCTTACGTCCTCACAGTTGAACTTGGAGCAGCTTGTCTTTGTCCGGAGGTCGAAGAACCGGACCGTACCGTCATCCCCACAGGACAGAAACGTCGACGCTTCGTTGGGCACGACCAGCAGCTGGGGAGTCATGAGATGTGAGCTGAGTTGAGGTGAGGGTTATACAGAACAGAACAGTCAGTGAAATGAGGGACACATTTTTTGTGATGAGAGGAGCTTGAGACATAGACAGTTCTACCTCCTTCAAACATACTGGCCCATTCAACATACAACAAACCTTTCAAACACATAAAACACTATCCTCTGATGAACGAACACATGCACAAAAAGACAACATCTGTGGCCTCAAGATGAAACTCAGGGGTCTTGCGTGCGACAGCAAAGCGGCTAACCGCTACACCACAGACACGGTTGCTCCTAACAGTCTGTCCGGAACAACTCACCTTGTACGTTGTTCCAAAATGACAGTCAAATCTGTTTGCCTGGTAGGTGTCCTCTCGGTCGACGTCTGTGAAGAATATCTCCCCTGATCCCGAGCAACTGACCACCTACAAACAGATTCACAAGTTCAGATGCATCTAAAACTGGTGGTTCTGTGATTTTCCTTCCATCCCGGGGTAGGAGATAAAGCAGTGGCTGTAGGTGCAATGCCACAAACAAAAACCCAACTCCATCACAGAGAGATTGTAAGAAAAATGAATGGGTATGTTGATGTCTGTTGTATTATATTGAGGAGTTGTTTGAGGAGATAAAGAAGAGAAAGACGCTATTAAGAGCATAGTTGAGGTGTGTTGCTGAAATACGAAAATTATAATATAATAATAATAGTTCTAGTAGTAGTAATAATACCAATTGGAAGCTAGATCCCCCCCCCCCCCCCCTTCCCAGAGCAACCAAGTCCTCTCATCCGAGAGATGGGGGCAGGGAAAGGCATGGCAGATCCCATAGGATTAATGTTGTCAACAAGCAAGGCGCAAATGGTCTCTGCACCTTCTCCGCAGTCATAGGGCTCTCCGATAAGAGCATGCTTAATACATGTATGTAGCTGGGCATTCCCTACGTAAAGTCACATCCAGTACAGTGCTGACAATGAACCTCTGCTTTCCACTCCACCAATATCCGTCCCAACTCCAGGTCAAAGAAAGGTTGTCGATGGAGAGAGGAGAAAAGAGAAGTTAATAAATGTAATAAAGTAAAACAATAAAAACAATAAATAGAAAGAGTAAGAAACATAGTAAAGTAACATGTCTCTTTTCGGGGTCACCCCTGGACCCGTTAGCTTCCTCTTTTTCTTTTCCTATTCGAAGAGTACTAATCCCCCCCCACCACGAAGAGGTGGGTCTATTTGAGGGGGCTACAAGTTCAGATTTGGTGAAAGTTTTATGCCACTTGCAACACAGATATAGGTGTCCATGATGAAAGGTGTTACTAGAGAGTAACATAGAAAAGAAAAGAAGGAGGAGAGATAGGATGAAAGATGTTCCGTAGGAAAGGAGGAAAGATAAGGACGATAAATGTTTGGTAGGGAAGAGAGATAAGAATGATAGATGTTTAGTAGGAAAGACAGATAAAGACGATAGATGTTTGGTAGGAAAGAAGTAGCAGAGATAAGGACGATAGAAGTTGGATAGGAAAGAAGGAGGAGAGATAAGGACGATAGATGTTTGGTAGGGAAGACAGATAAGGACGATAGATGTTTAATAGGAAAGAGGGATAAGGACGATAGGTGTTTAGTAGGAAAGAGAGATAAGGATGATAGATGTTAGGTAAGAAAGAAGGAGGAGAGATAAGGACAATAGATGTTGGTTAGGAAAGAAGGAGGAGCGATAAGGACGATAGATTTTTGTTAGGAAAGAAAGAGGAGAGATAAGGACGATAGATGTTTGTTAGGAAAGAAGGAGCAAACCACACCTGAACACCCAGCCGCCAACCACCCACCTACATACAGAGTAGGTAAAAACTAAAATAAATTTTCAAGTAGTAGAAACGTAGTTCAGTTCCTTCACTTTAAAGCTCAGTGCTCTAGGCACTTAGAAGGAAATATCGACCCAACCCTTGGCAGAGAGAAACTCAAAACTTTACAGGTTTAGTTTTTAAAGTTTTAGTAAAGTTTTTTACGGAGCTCGCAACTGCATACGGTCATATGAGCGCCAAGGGGTGGGTGTCAAAAGAGAAATCCAAACGAGGAATCGGGCTTACTCTGCTCACTTCTCTAGACTCAACAGCACAAAGTCTACTTCGGCTATTAAGGCACCCTGGAAATAGCAGTTCACAAGAGAGTGACAAACATACAAAAGAAGTAGTGAAAAAATGAGGAAAGTAAGGATGAGGAAAGAAAAAGCAGCAGTTCCCCCCTATGTTTTTCGGGCACAGTATGAGCATGACATTGATAAATCAGCCCACTTGCAATTCTACAGTGCATAAACAGAATACATTCAAAAAGACGTTCAGACAAAAGGGGACATAACAACACCCACTCTCACCTCTCTGTCCAGACTCCCGGGCAAGAATTTGGCACTGAAGATATTTGACCTGTGGCCAGACCGGAACTTGACCAGGGTCTGAGGACAGAGCGATACCAAATACATCACTGCACGCACTTTGATGTTTACCTTCAAGGTCAATGATAAACAGACCTGCCAACCCCTCCATGACCAAAAATTTAGATTTTTCACAGAATCCTCCCCCAAAATATGAGGGGGGTGGGGGTGGAGGGATAGAGCCTCCAGATGGACCTGCATGACTTCAAATGTTGGTAGTAGAACGAAAAACCACCCACAAGCCGTCAAATGTTCAGAACTCCAGAACTGGTACTTTTTCCAAGGAAAAATCCTGTAATCCAGCATTACATCTCCTTTGATGGGTTGATTCAGGCAGCATGTCACATATGGGTAAACTTTTGGGCCTCATTTAACCCTTTTCCATCACAAGGCTCAAATAGTAAAAACCCTTGCCATCAAAGGTAGAGGTATTTTGGGGGAAAATCCAAAGAAACTGGATGATAAACATCGCCGATCTGCAGGATGAGACAGCAAAGGTGTTTTTTTTTTAATTGCTCATATTATAGATGAGCATTTACAGTAAATAAATGTCTTGAGTGACTACGGATATTTATCTGTAATGTGAGAGTGTAAATATATTTTATAAATATGTGATCACCTTAGCACTGAAGGGGTCTGTGATGGCCAGGTGTTGATCATCGGAGCCTGACAGAATGAGGGTGCCTTTGTCGTTCCAGGCGATTGTGTTGACCTGGGGTTGCAAAGAGCAGGACAGAAATGGGAGTTGGAATGGAGTACCAAATAAACAAAACAGCAAAGAATTAACCAAAAAATCATGATTTGAATCCAACTGCAGGTGTAAGTAAAAAATCACACATATTCTGCTTATGATGCAAGGTTCAAACATGCTATAAATAATGAATGTTATCAAGAATAGCTTTCATGTTGTATCATCCCCCAATTTCATGCGCACAGAAGTTCAGAGGTTGACTGTAATTCATCTTGATAATTCATTCTTGTGTCCAACATATGAGAACAAACATACCAGTGGTCAAAGGAAAACTTTATTTGCTTTTTTCCCTGTGCTATCATTTACTTCTCAAACAAAAAAAGAAAAATGATACGATCGCAATGTCCACCTTTCTCTCTACATGACCAGTTGATGGTTGTTTTTACAAAGTGAATTTGCAGCTTGTGCGACTGATGCTTGACCTTCATGTGGAGGTCAAGTCAGCCGACAGCAAAGTCGTGAGCTCCTTCCAAATAGGTGTAACCAAGACTCTGAATAAAATTCACACATTTTACAGATACGAAAAAAAAAAAACCTACGGTAAAAAGGAAATCTTTGTTTTCAATCTTTCGATCAAGACTTCATTGTTCTTCAAGCACGAAGTTGTCAAAAGAGGTACACAGTTATTTTCCAAACTTACTTGTGTCATTGAAAATTAAACCTCATAATTGTAAAAAAAAAACAAAAGAAAGCAGACAAATGAAAACTTACGCATCCATCGTGAACACACAACTTCTTCTCCAGCTTCAAACGCTGAAGAAAATGAAGGCTACCTGAAAAAAAGAAAAAAGTTTATTTCCCATTAATGAACTATAAAATTCAAATTTATTACACATTGTTCGGTAAAAATACCCCAATATATGACTTGACTGCACACACCTAGGTAAAAGGTGCAGGTAAAACTTCTAGATTTTAAAATCTGGAAAATCTTCCGTTGTAATTTGCATCGATTGAATCTTGCCATCCATTTTATGGACATCTTTTAAATTCAATAGGGTGTTACACGGGTAGATAATAAAGTTCATAAAATGGCTAAGGGTGAAAGAGGAAGTAGTTTATTTATTTAATAATTTTTCCCTAACCCTTCCAGTCAGGTCAAAATAAAGTTTGGGTTTAGAGATCACATTCATAGTTCTCTTGTTCTTGCGATCAGATTTAATCATGAATGCAAGGATCGTCTACTCGGAGACAGCCTCGTTTTCTCTGGAAGCTCCCATTGTCCACTCTCCGGGTGACTGAGTTTTTAAAACTACAGTACATCAGGCACACACACTCTCCCCTGCCAGTGCAGTAGAGCTGGGTCACGAGCGCGAGAACGGAACTGTCGCCACTCTTCCCTGCGGAACACGATTCATGATTCACTTCAGCAGAACGCAGAACAGTATAGCCTTCCGATTCACTCCCCTGTCGCTGTCACCACCATGCAGCTTGTGTGTAACCTATATCTATCTAGATCTAGATCTAGATTTATAGAGACCGCCAATTCAATTTCAGTAGTTCCCAAGAATTTTATTTCCACATCAAATTGAGTTAAAATCAAAGGACAAATCTACAAACCTCCAAAAAACTTTCTCTTAAAAAATCTAGAATCGAGAGCCAAGACTAAAACTAAAAAGTAGTAAGTAAAAGAAAAAGCCACACAATAACAGGCAAAGGATTCCCAAGGAACTACACTACGATGTAACAACACCAACTAACTAATAAATTCTTTATTAAAAACAAAAATACTAATCAATCCAGATTCTTGATCTAGATCAGGCCTACCTGTGGTTACATCGTACAGACGTCGAGGGGGGCATGATCTATGCTCTCTGTTTTTAATGGTGCCAAACATTTTACCAGCACTGAAGAAAAAAATACATTCAATTCGAGAGAACTAGACGGTCATAACTGCACTACATGAAAAAGGTAAACATTCTCCAGACTTCAGCCATTGTTTTCAAAGGGAGGCTAGTACAATAAATTCGATGAAATTATTATTGCAGAGTGGTTGCCTCCCTGGCAAAGGGCCGCTCTTCTAAGACAAGTTTGTCATTTATATTACTTGTTAATTCTGTGCTCATCATGTGGGGATTTAAAATTGAAATTCACGTCTTTAAAAACACTTCACCATATTTTTTGGAACACTCTTTCAAATAAATGGACCAAAACTTTTTATGACATTAATTTACAAAATTTATAAATGATTGATCCCTAGATCCTTTGACATCATGTAAACTTCCGGTGCTTGGTCTAAACAAATCTTCACAACAAATGTCAACAAACCGGTCAGCCCAACGAGAGAAGCATCATATATCTAGCTGATTGTTGTATTGTCTGCAACGATGACAACTGAGTTAAAGATATTCACATTGAATTGTTGGTTAGTATTGCTTCGCACTGAATGTTGCTAATGCGATATCTCTGTCTAGAATCTAGATCTAGATCTCTAGATCTAGATCTAAATCTAGATATAGAATCTAGAAGAAAGTATTTTACTAAAATTATTATTATGATAAGTTAAAGTTCTCAATCTAGAATCTAGTCTAGATCTAGATCTAGATCTAGATATCTAGATGTAGATCTAGATATCTAGATCTAGATATCTAGATATCTAGATCGGAGTGAGAATAGTGCAGGCGAGTCTTGTGGCTATTCTCACCCGGTGCGCGTTCACCAAATTTTGCGTTCACCCTAAACCATAGAATTCTACACTGTGAGGAAAAATTGTAGAATTCTGTGCCGTGAACAAACGTTCCATTTCAACTGTAGCCTACTAAAAGCGTACAATTTTGTCTGTGGGCAGTGGAGAGAGAGAGAGAGAAAGAGAGAGAGGAGTAGCGCGAGAATTTCCGGGCAAAACAAAATGGCATGGCGACCCGCATAGTTCGGCTCGATTCGAAAAGTTAAATAGCCGTAGCATCTTTGTAGACAACCAAATTAATTTACTTTTGTGTTTTAACATCATTTTTTAACTTTGTTTTGGTCAATTTGATCGTCCACACCGATAGACAGTATTCAGAAAGAGACAGAGAGAGAAAGAAGAGGGGAGGAGTTGATCTTGCGAGAACTTCCGGGCGGGTGAGAATAGCCACTTTCTTATATTATCTAACATCCTAGTGGGTGAATTTATTTGCACTGCCAGATCCTGTCCCTGAGCCTGAGGCGAATCAGGCTAATTTAATAGATCTAGATCTAGACTAAATAGATCTAGATATCTAGATCTAGTCCACTAATTTTGACTAGATCTAGATTCTAGATCTAATCTAGATCTAGATCTAGATCTAGTCATTTCCGATTTCATTGTCAATTGTTGAGATGACATCATATCTAGACGGTCAGAGAACAAGGCCGCCTTATCGGAAGTTGGTCACCGCGAGATAAAGGCCCAGGGCAGACAATGGGTAGTGCAGAAGTGAGAGGGTGAGAGAGCATCACGCCGTGTGCTTGATTAAACAAGTGTCCAAAATTACGGCATTTATGGTGTGTTGTTTCTTTAGCGCAATTATAACTTTCGAAAGGGCATCGAAAGTATATATTAATGCTTTAACTGGAAAAATACCAACACTTAAATCATAGTAAGAGAATGTCTAATAGCGGAGATGGATGGAGAGAGAGGCAGGCGGTCGTACAAGTGTAAAGGAAAGCATTGTCGCAGTAACTTTTTTGCATGCTTTAAGCGGTAAACATAAATAGAACAATATTTAAAATGTTGATCAAGCAAGGCTTTACAATCTTGCAAGCACATGCCACAAAGGCAAACAAACAGAAACAGGCAATAATATAATATATATAAATAGACAGCTGCTTTCCTCTTGAAAAAAAAGGATGGTGATCTGAAGATATAACTCAAATTGTATGGGTTGAATTATCTAATTTAACGTATTCATACAAGGTATCTGATCCCATACAATCGGCGGATTCCAAGTAGTGTCCTTTTAGAAATTTTGATTTATAATAATATTACTCCATTTATTATTTTGATATTATTTCATTATTTTACTCAAATCAATTCTATTGCAGGTATTATTGTTTTTGATATTGATGTTTTGACTGTGTTCCTCCTCCTCCTCCTCCTCCTCCTCCTCCTCCTCCTCCTCCTCCTCCTCTTCTTCTTCTTCTTCTTCTTCTTCTTCTTCTTCTTCTTCTTCTTCTTCTTCTTCTTCTTCTTCTTCTTCTCATTATCAATATTTGTATTATGACAATCATTAACATTATTTATTTATTTATTTATTTATTTATTTATTTATTTATTTATTTATTATTTAATTGATGGTGGTTTTTTTTCTTAATTATCATTAATACTGCCCTTAATTCATAATCGTGTTATCGATAAAAATAGACGCTAATATAAATATGATGACACTATAACGGGGGGGGGGGGGGGGGGGGGGGGGGATGATGAGAAATGGTAGGGGGAGGGGACGGGGGGCAATTACAGCGAATTATAGACGATTTCCAGATTGAGAACCATAGATATGGGGTACATAGAAGCGGAACCAATAAATTGGCAAAAAGATATTATTAATCCGCATACAGGAAAAAGAGGCTAAAACAGCACCTGGACATGGATGGCTGGTGCCTCTATAAATAAATCATTGATGGTCAGGTCATCACGTGTTGTGTGATTGGCATTCAGTGTCAATCTTTTTTTTTTTAATGAGAAAGTGGATGGTTATTAAAAGATATAGCAAAATGGACTAGTGGATGGTTATTTAAAGATATAGCAAAATTGACTACTGTGTCTTTTCAGGGGATTGCCATTTCCTGTTATATGCAAAAACCGTCCTGAGCGTATAAATGCCATTGGTGATTATTTGAAGAATGGAGACTTTGATGTCGTTTTTCTGCAAGAGGTAAGTTGTCAAATTATAATTACCAATTGTGAATTTGAATGGCATATTGATGTGAATTTGAACATGGTTGTGTTTTATAAAAAATTTCTGACTGGGTGTGCTGTTTCAGTCATGGAAATTTTGCTTTTAAAAATATAATATGTGTGCAGACAGATAATGCCAGGTTTGTATCCTACATGCAGTGCCGTGACAGTCTTTCAATATTTCAGAGATGTTTAAGAAAATTCAACTGCTTATGATCAGTTTCATTTCAATCTATGTTTGGACAAGAAAACTAATCTTGAATGACTGTTGGTCATCTGCAGTACGATACTTTGTTTCATGTTGAAAAAGCTTTTTTTTAAAAAAATGATCATTGCCCAAATAGCCCCAAATACAGTATAAAAAAACATATTATATTGTAAACCAAGCCAAGTTTTAGAATGTGATTTATACATTCGACATTCATTTTTTAAAATTTATTTAACACTTTTTCTCTCTTTCTTTTTCAGATTTGGGTGAAGTCAGATTTCCACATACTGCGTGAAAAGATGAAACATACTCTGCCATTTTCACACTATTTTTACAGGTCAGTCACAGATTTGATGAGAATGCTAAGCATTTGATCAAAGTATGGATTTAAGTAGAAACGTGTTTTTTTTTCAACATTATTACAAGTACATTGATATGATACATAGTCAGTCATCATATTGCAATATGGTTGTTACTTGATTTCACTGCGATGTTCTCATCTTGTCACAATAATTTTCAAAGGTATATCAGATATGGATGTTAAAGTTTCTTTGTTCCTCTTTCAAGTCCTAATCACCATTTTGTTGACTCAGATTAGGAGGCTGATACATGTCATATCTCTGCAACAGTTTTTTTTCCCCTATTTAATCTTTGTTGTTTTCTGCCTGGATCTTCGGTGACTACACCTTACGACAAGTACTTGTCATCCTTCGGTGACTAAACCTTATGACAAGTACTTGTCATCCTTCTATTTGGCTTTGCGCTTCTTTTCTTGATTGTCTCTTTCACAATGTTGTGAGGGTCGAGGGTCTGTATTTTAGTGGATTATGACAAGTGAAACACCCTGTGTCATGGGGTAAAGTGTGTGGCTATGTACAAGATTGAACAAAAGCTGGTGATCAGAGGTTAATAAAAATACTATTTCGCTTATGTCAATTTTTGGAAAATGACTGTTATAAATGTGTTTTGCTGTGAGTGGAAAGTATAATATTAGCAAATATAAATAAATAATACTAACGGTTCTTTCTGAAAACGAAAAGTGATGTTGCTGTTGTTTTCAAATCCCTTTAGCTGCGAGCATATTGCTCTTGGCAGCGCAATGCCTCCCTTAAGTAACTACTTGTCCTTGTCATCTGGTCAACGCCAGAGTAGAGCAGGCTTTGTAAGTCTGTAGGTGTGTGAAGGAACCTGCGTCGAAGAACTGCCAGGTTTGGGCAGTGAAGGAGAAGATGTTCAACGGTCTCCTCGTGGTAATCACAGTGTCTGCAATGGGGTTCCCACATGGGGTTGATTCTGTTTATGTGCTTGTTGGTGTGATAACGAAAAGTGAAAATATTGTGAAAATGAAATGCTCAGTTGGCCAGTTATTTAATATTTATAATATGTATGCTTATGGTACTTGCACATAGAAATAATGACTGATTCATTACAATAGCGATAAATCCTATTTGCTTTTGCATTATCTTATCAGTTTAATGTTCTTCTTTTCTTACCAGCGGAGCCATTGGCAGTGGTTTATGTGTTTTCTCAAAGCACGCCATCACTGAGACATTCTATCATCGGTACCACCTGAATGGACACGCCCATAAAATCTTTCACGGCGACTGGTTCGGGGGGAAAGGAGTTGGACTGTGCAGGATACACAAAAATGGAATTGATATCAATTTGTATTGCTCTCATGTAAGTTGCATTTACTCTGTGGAGATCATCTATTCAAGTCCAGTTTCACCACTGTCTGTATTCTCATGAAATCTTAAAAAGAGGTTATCATTTTTGGACTGTGTGTGTATGACCCTGGTTTGAATCCTATCTAGAACAGTTTTGAACTTTGGGTGTTTAGGGAGTTGAAATCTCTCTCTCCTTTCTCTTGACTTGTTCCTAAATTTATTTGAGACGGACACTGGAAAAGATCTTCAACCTGATTGTGGTGAAAGGGGTATTAAATCTAACAGGATGTTGTTGTTGTTGTTAGCTGCAAGCATTTTGCTCTTGGTAGCGCAATGCCTCCCTCAAGTAACCACATGTCCTTGTCATCTGGTCAAGGCCAGAAATCTAACAGGATAAAAACATGATAAAATAATCAGTCTTTTTGAGTTAACGTTTGCCTGTCTTGATGGGGTTTTTCAGTTCTGTACCCATCACAGTGAATGGACGGTTGGCGGGTGCTCTGGTGTGGTTTACTGCTTCTTTCCTATAAAAAATCTATCGTCTCTATCTCCCCTCCTTCTTTTTTGTGTTTGTTACTCCCTTGTAACACCTCTAATCTTCTGCTCCTATATGACCTTGACCTATGTGTGTTGCAAGTGCCGTAAAACACTTACTAAAACAAAAACCTTAGTAAAACTAACAAAACAAGTGCCGTAAAACCTTACTAGAACAAAAACCTTGCTAAAACAAAAACCTTACTAAAACTAACAAAAAACGTCTAACCAAAACCTTACTAAAACTAACCAAAAACATCTTTCAAAACCTTACTAAAACTAACTCAAAACCATCTTGCTAACACAGCAACGTCTGACTTACCCTTCTCTTATCTTATCTATAAGACAAGCACCCACCTTACTAAAACTAACAAAACAAGTGCCGTAATATCTCTACTACAACTAACGAAAAACTTCTTACCAAAACTGCACAGTTCCATGCGGAGTACAACCCCCTAGAGGACGAGTACCGAGCGCACCGCTTGTCTCAGGCCCTGGAGCTCAGCCAGTTCATCGGCTACACCTCTGTCGACTGTGACCTCATCATTCTCGCCGGCGACCTCAATACTCCAGCCCACGGCCTTGGCTACAAGGTCATCACGCAGAACGGTTCCCTCAAGGACACCTGGCTGGAGAAGGTGGGTGCTGTTGGGGAGAGTAAGGGGGGAGGTACTTGAGTAAGGGAAAGGGGGGGAGGTTATTTAGCTCCCTACTAGATGTGAAGAGGTCATTTCAAAGTCTCAACCCTTAGCTTACCCTTTTGGTTTTCGTAGTTAACCCTCTATCCGTTTGCTTTGGGTCATTTTGTACCCCAGGGATTGTGGATTTTTTACATTTTAGAATACTTCTAGTGTGAAGATCTCTTTGAGACTTTCAGTATTCCTCCTAAAATTATTTTGACAGACGGATTAACGAGTAAATTTCCTCTTGGGAAAGTGGTGGCACAGGGTTCCCCACGCTGTATGGATACGATAGTAAAACACAACGTACGGATAGGGTTAAGTAAGATTTGTTCAGCACTCACAACTGCATACGGTCATGTCATACGAGTGTGTGAAACACCACCAGTTGGTTGCATTCACAACAGTTCACGCACTGCTTGGTCGTCTAAATTGGTTTGAGCACAGAAGAAGGGAGGAGGAGAAAAATAAACTGAGACATTGATGCTGTAGGACCAATCAAAATTGACCCAACTCTCCACGGCTGTGTGGGCAGAACTGTAAAATCATATGGTCACTTTTAAGGACAAGGGGGCTAACCTTGATTTTGGTTGTTTCCAGAAATCTTGACCCACACCAAAAGTGGGCATTGCCCTGCCTATAAGGAGAAGTGGTTTCATTGGTGTGTATATGTTTGGTTATAGAGAAAGCTCTCCTTGTCTTTTAAAGAAACTGAACAAGGGGCAAAATCTTTATCTTCGATTTTCTCAAAACAGCATTTTCCCGTCTAGCCCCTTTGTGCTTAGAGGCGACCATATGTATCTGAAAAAATCAAGGAAGCGGGTTGGTATAAATAAATAAAAGTACCCTTGGAAATGGTCCAGGGTTATCTGAAAGACAAGAAATACCATACCACAGTTGGAAAGTATTAGTTGTTCATTGGGTTCAAGAATCCACCTAGGACTGTCCTTGAGGACTAGTAGAGGAAATAAGAGGAAGAAGAAAAAGAGAAGATTGAGAGAAGAAGCAGAAAGAAGCAGACAAAGTTGAAAAGAAGGAGAGGAAAAAGAAGAATGAAAAAAGAGCACACAACTAGCTAAGGGTTGCAGTGATGCGGCTGGCTCAAACCCTTGCTGATACTGTGTTGTTTTGGGGCTTTTTATTTAATGTTGTTTTGGGTTTTTTTGGTGTCCCATGTCCTGATTTTGGTGGCAATATTTGTAAGTTAAGAAAAAATGTGCCAACATGGTGCAGATTGTTAAGCTTCAAGAAAAACAAAACAAGAAAAAGGGATTTGTTTGGTCTTTGATGATGATAATAATAATAAGAGCATTTGTATCCCGCCTTTCCCCACAGCATGGGCCCAAGGCGTACATAGAAGATTAAAAACGCATTCATACTAACACCATACAAATTCATCATGTGCACACTTTTTGACAGCAACATTCTTTCAGACAATAAATAATGCTCATACAAAAAGGCAAAGGTACTGTCCATTAATTAAAATATTTTTTTAATAGATGTGTTTTGAGTCCCCTTTTAAAGGTATCAAGTTTTATTTCGCTCCTCAAATCATGAGGGAGAGTGTTCCAAACTGTTGACCCAGAAAAAGAAAAAGCTCTCTAACCATATTTCTTCAGTGACACACAAGGTGTTGAAATTAGTCTAGAGCCACTGGATCTTAGTTCACGTGATGGTGTGTATGGTACAATGAGTTCTTGAATGTATGTGGGAGACTGGTTAGTTTGACCTTTGAAGCATAGTAGGGCTAACTTAAATTCAATTCTTGCTTTCAGTGGAAGCCAATGGAGCTCTTTAAGTAGGGGAGTCACATGATGGCGTTTTGATTGCTTTAATGCAAGCCTGGCAGCATTGTTTTGAATGCGTTGGAGTTTTGCAATTTTTTCTTCGGGTAGGCCAGCAAACAGTGAATTGCAATAATCGATGCATGACAAAATGAAGGCAAACACTAGTTTTTTGGTGGCATCAGTGCTAAGAAAATGATGATGATACTGTATTCTTTTATTGATTGATCTGATTCTACTTCTCCTTTGTGGGTGGTTGGTGGGTGCTCTGGTGTTGTCTGCTCCTTCTTTCCTATCAAACATCTATCATCCTTATCTTCCCTCCTTATTTGTATCTGTTACTCTCTTGTAACACCCCTAATCTATGGCAATTATATGACCTTATTGTGTTGCAAGTGCCGTAAAACTCTTACTAAAACTAAGCTAAACTTCTCCCATGCTACACACACAAGATGATACTTTTGGCTGAGAACTTTCCCTCACTATTTCACGTACTGTGGCTGACTCAGTGATTACGCAGGTGGTCACTGAGGTATTGATATAGTATGAACTTTTCAGTTCAATTTGCTGATATCTAAAGTGTGACATTTCCCCAGAAAAACTGCGTGGAAAACGAGGACATCGGGACCTGTGATGTCGCTGGCAACTGCTACACCCCAGCGAGTCTGGCGAAGGAAAGGCCTCTGGGAGATCGTATCGACTACGTTATGTACAGCTGTAAAAGCAGTGAGTCTTTTCTACACTTTCTGGATTAGTCTTTTCTACTCTCTCTAGTTTCTGGATTAGTCTTTTCTACAATCTGGTTTCTGGATTAGTCTTTTCTACAATCTGGTTTCTGGATTAGTCTTTCTACACTTTATGGAGTAGTCTTTTCTACAACCTGGTTTCTGGATATTTCTTTCTACACTTTCTGGATTAGTCTTTTGTACTCTCCGGTTTCTGGATTAGTCTTTTCTACCCTCCGGTTTCTGGATTAGTCTTTTCTACCCTCCGGTTTCTGGATTAGTCTTTTCTACCCTCCGGTTTCTGGATTAGTCTTTTCTACCCTCCGGTTTCTGGATTAGTCTTTTCTACCCTCTGCTTTCTGGATCGTTAACGACAATGACAATATTCTGCCCACTAGTCTCCACATTTCTTTTGTTGGGCTGTTCCATAAAAAGTGGCACATGTAACGCAGGGATGATAAACTGCTGACAAAAAAAAAAGAAACCTAAGCAAAGACAGAGCTATTCTTCATGACTTTTTTGGTTAGAGGAAGATTGCATCTAAGAACAAAAGTAAGGAATGGCTTTATCGCTGCTTGGAATTTTTTTTCGGTAGGTCATTATCTCCATTTTACGTTTGTCCATTTTCAGTCCATAGTGTCATGGAATGTTTGCACCATGGATGATTGACATCCCCGGGGTAAGTTATCAGGGGGAAAAGTCACTGAGAATAATGGAGAGAAAAATGGAAGGAAATGGAATAACATCAAGATGCTAGACTGGGATAGTGAAATGTGGAATGTGGCCTGTACATTGATCAAGAGTGAGAGAGGCATTGATGATTATGATAATGGCAACGACGATGATGATAATATGATGGTGATGGCAATGACATGATGATGATGATGATGATGGCAATGATTATGATGATGATGGCAATGACGATGATGATGATGATGGCAATGGCGATGATAATGATGATTATGGCAATGACAATGATGATGATGATGATGATGATGGCAATGATGATGATGGCAATGATGATGATGACGATGATGATAATGGTAACTCAGGCTGTCTTATTCCCGCGGCCCTCAGACTTCTCCGTGGAGGTGAGAGATTGCCAGCTGGGAGGTCTGGGCAAGATTCCTGGCCACAACGTCAACTACTCGGACCACGAGCCGGTGGTCGCTCATCTCACTGTCGGCAAACATGGGGGTGAGTCGGTCGCAAATGTTCACAGATTGTTTAGAATTGGCTGTAGGTTTGTAATTCGGGGTGGGGGTAAGCTTTCTACAGACTCTAATGATATGATTATGTGGGGGGTTGGGGGGAGGAAGGGGGGGGGGATTGTGGTTTTGTTGTGGTGGGGGGGGGGATGGAGAGAGTGAGGGGGTTAAATTGTGCTTTATCTAGACAAAGGGTGGAGGGGGGAGGGGAGGAAGATTTGAAGGTGTGGCAATTTGTGTAGTGTTACTAGTGAAGAAGGAAAGAAAGTAGAAATGATACACACAGCATCAATGTTGCTCATGCTCCTATTACTATTAGCATGAGTGTTTATGCTATTTATGTATCTTCACATTTAGTGAGTGTGCAGCCCTTACTGGGGTATTGTAGGACTGTTTATCATCTACCATATAGACCAAAGAGGAATAATCCATTATATCCTGGATATTTTCTGCTCTTAAAATTCACATGAACTGACTTATTTTATAATGTTCTTTTCTACAATATGGCTCTCAGGACAATTTTTGAAACCCAAACCCTTTAATTTTTCCTCCTACAGACAGACCACCCGTGGAGAAAAAGTCGATGCTGAGCAGAGTTGAGAGAGAAAACCTGCAAGAGTGCCTTGTGGTTCTAGACAAGGGCGTCAGTCAGTGTCTGAGGGAAGAGAAATTCTTCCAGGTTGGTTTGAGAAACTTATCAGTTGTCTTAAAAAATAACATGAATGTCTGCAAGAATATATTTTTTAAAGAGATTTTATTGTGTAATAATGACAAACCTTAAAATTCTAATGGTGCTTTAACTCTATCTGTACGCCATGGGGTCAATTTGTACCCCCGGGCTTGTATTCTTCACATTTTAGAATACTTCTAGTACAAAGATCTCTTTGAAGCTTTTAGTAATTTCCGAAAAAACATATGCAAAGCGGACAGATTGGATTAGCAAGTAAATTTCCTCTTTGGAAAATGGTAGCACAGATTTCCCCATGTCGTATAGATATGATAGTAAAACACTATGTACGGATAGAGTTAACATAAATGTCTTCATAAATTATTTTTTAAAATAGATTCCATAGCCTAACAATGACTGTATAATTCTAATAAATCTTATGGTGCTTTAAAATGTCAGTTCTCCCAGTCATAATGTTAGGTCAGGGAAATCCTTTCTGCAAGTAAAATGGTACTACTTTACTCTCTTTATCACCTGCAGTAGCGAGCAAGGTCTATACCTTCTCTTCCTCTCCTCATGTTTAAGTTTGTCATCATTATATTGTGGACAAACTATTACTATTATTACTCATAGTGGGAGCCAACTCTCTTGTAACTCCTCTAATCTTCAGCACTTATATGACCGTATTGTGTTGCAAGTTCCGTAAGACTCTTGCTAAAACTATTTAAAAAACTGACCTAAAATTGTGGGTGGTTGGCGAGTGCTCTGGTGTGGTTTGCTTCTTCTTTCCTATCAAACGTCTGTCGTCCTTATCTCCCCTCCTTCTTTTTTATGTTTGTTACTCTCTTGTAACACCTTTAATCTTCTGGCGCTCATATAATATGACCTTATGCAGCTGCGAGCGCCGTAAAACCTTCACTAAAACTTTTGAAAAACTAAACTCTCTTGTAACGCCTCAAATCTTCAGCACTTATATGACCTTATTGTGTTGCAAGTGCTGTAAAACTCTTACTGAAACTGAAAAAACAACTCCACCTAAAAGTATTCGTCTCTGTCCATCAGCTGGTGGTGTTCCTGCTGTCCCTGATCCTGTACACCGTCAACTCCTACACCGACCTCACCTGGGACAACAGCGGCATCATGGCCGCCATCTCCATGGGTACGGCCAAACTGAGCATGGCCATCGGCATTGGCTTCTGCGTGTGGATTTCTCTGATCGTCAAACGAGGAGAGTTCCACGGGCTGGTGGCGTGTAAAGAGGACGTACTGAAGCTGCTCCGAATATGAGGGAATCACAGCAGAGTATGATGGATTGACAGAATATGTGATGGATAGACACAGAGTGTAGACTGTTCTGTGTAACACTCTGTCGTATGTGAGGCAGTGTGGTGAAATTAGGCACTCATAACAATAATGAAATTGAAGAAACTGGCATTTTTCTGCCGGTCTGGCAATTTTCATTGAATTTTTTTTGGGGGGGGTTCTACACCTTTTTTTTCAATTAAGAACACATTACTGGGTGGATTTTGCTGAAAAACTTTGACTCAAGGCACCAAATATTCAAATTTTCAGTTTCCACGAGCTATGAAGCTCTTGAAATAACCAAACTTTGGCATCCATTGTCTCGCTAATTCAAGCTCTGAAACTAGGTGACCCCCACCTCCTTCAATCTTAAATATCTCGACTTCTATTCAAGATTGATGGGTATTCTTTTCACTGATAGCAAGACAACTAAAATAGCTTTAAGATGTTACCACACCCACATTGCCCCAAAATTGACAAGCGCCTGATTTCACAGCGTCATGACCCAAATGTCACTTTTCAAAATGGCATCTTTTGGAGTCTTGTCCCAAGCAGTCGATGTACTATTTGCTCATAAAGACCAGAGGGAAAAAAAACAGCTGAGCCTTTCTTTGGTGATTTTGCAAAATCACAGTTTTGAATTTTGGAACATCTTATCTTAAAGGAGGAAGTAAAATGTTCTCTGTTCATTCTTGCATGGTCCCTGCTTTTTTCCCCCCCTCTCTTTAAAATGGTAAGTTTTCTTTTTCATCGTCATTTATCGTTAAATGGACATCCCATTCTCTAGTGCGAAGGTTGCTGTTCACTGTAGCTCTTTCATTAGGTTTTCGGACTCCTTGCTTTGTGTTGGGCCAATACTTCCTAGGAAAAAAAGAAAAAAAACCCCAAAAAAATTAATGTGCTTTTGAACCCTCTAGAGCTTTGAACTCGAAATTTGGAGAAAAAAAAACTAAAAAAAGAAAGAAAGAAAAAAAAAATCAAATTTAATATATTGTGCCTTTAAATCTTCATGAGATTTGAACTCAAAATTTGAAGAAAAAAAAAAAAGAAAGAAAGAAAGAAAAAAGAAAAATAAATCAAATTTAATATATTGTGCCTTTAAACCTTCTTGAGATTTGAACTCAAAATTTGGAGAGAAAAAAAAGAAAAGAAAGAAAAGCGTCTGCTGTCGTTCGTACCCCTGTTGTCTTCACATGTGTGTGCACCAGATGACCCCCAGGTCTCCCATCATTCCACTCGTCAGCTGTTCACAGACAAGTCAAGGATTTGTCTCTGCGAGTAGCTTCATTCAAACACTCGGGTACAAAAGCGATTCAATCAACATTTTCTCACCTTGACTTTCTACTCAGAGTTTTATTCCTTATTTTTGCAGTTCTTCCAGAGTTGTCTGGGATTTTTGGTTGTTTTGTTTTGTTTTTTTGTTTGTCTTTTTGACCCAGGAATATATCTAGTCCTTTTTTTGTACTATTAATTAAATAAACGTGAGTAAGGTGCAAGCAAAGAACTACAGTAGTTCTCAACATTCACCATGTGCAGGTACCAGTTTACTAGATTAGACTAGATGCACTCCCCCTCCCTCCAGTCATAAATCAATGATACTTGCACCTTCCCCCTATTAAAATTTTTTTGTATTCTTTTCTTGCACCTTACTCGCGTTTATTAGTACTAAAGGCTATTGCTCTGCCAAGCAAAGCATTCGAATCATAAAAAGTCAATGATTACGGTTAAATCTTGCCGCACCATTGACAGAACAGTTTCTCACATTTACAGGGATTACAGTTTTCCCGCGGATCCGGCTATTTTCCGCGGTTGCAAGAACTTCCCAAAATCCGCACTGACGGTCGTTTTTCCCGGTCTTAAGTCAGTCCACATATGCCATGAGTAGCCTGAGTTAGGCTGTAAGGGTTAGGGTTAGGAAAGTAAGTGAAATGTGTCTATATTTTTGTTCATTTTGCATTTTAAACTGATGTGGAAAAGGGGGGAGAGTGGGTGCACAATATTTACGGAAGTCTATCTGATCAATCGTCAAGGTTTAGGAGTTGGGAGAAATTTTCACTGTGATCCCTGCATCTATTCTAGCACATGCTGAGCATGATTTGTAACGATGACGGTGGGTGAGGGAAGGAAGTACGTGAGTTGTGCTGACAAAATGAGTTACTTCTCGGAAACCGCAAATGGAGAGTTTGGTAAAAAATCGGCACATGGGTCAAATTTGCGGATTTTTTCGCTGATGCCATTTTCTTTAATTTAGACATGTCTTTTATCATTATATACTCATAAATTGTTCAACTTTTAGCTATAAATTTGACTTATCTATGTCCATGGCGATAAAATCTAAAAATTAATCATTTTGTTAGCACCCCTCTCATATGTTGAAAAGTCAATGTCGCATTTATGTCCAATTCCGAAAGCATGCATTTGAACTTGTTTATGGTGACAGTAGATAAAGGTTACCAGCTTGTTGGTACAGACAGTCAGACAGAGCTCTGGGGTAGAATAAGTTAGATGATCAACATTTTTTTCACCTCTAGATATCACATTTCTTTCGGTTTTTTTCTTCTTTGTCTTTTAAAATCTTTGATTGGCAGATGTTTTCATCACAGATCATTGAGGTGACTTTTGGTGCAGCCAGAAGTCCTCATACTTTCCCATGGATATTCGAGAACTAATTGTAGAATGAATGTATGCATTCTATTTTTCCAAATGTCTTAAGATTTTCATAATTCCTGAATGTTCCGCACTGTTTATTCTTCTTTATAGATCTAACCATTTCCATTTTATGTGATGTTTTTAGTCTGTGATACTTTTTGACAATACCACTTTTCGTGTTCCTGCCATCTTGGAAAATGTAGGCCGCACCATGTGTCAGAGTTTGAAGTCACAGAATTAACTCGAGGACGTCACGGACATATTTGTCCTACAAGGCAACAGACAATGTTGTGGCCTATTCTAAACCATTATACACAAACCAGAAACAAGAATTTACCCTATCTCATTGTATGAATATTGTTGCCTGCATTTTAAGTTTCAATAGAAAACGGAATTGAAAAATCAGTGTGAATACGGAAGTTGTTCTCTTTTTTTTTTTAATGTCCCATAACAGCGTGTCTTCAAGCTTTGTCAAATGACCAGAATGCGAATCCTTAGTGAGTTAATTGCTAAGAGAGATTGAGTTTTCCAGCGTTGTGGCCACTGTATTAGGTTATGTTCAGAAGCATTGAACAAGAAGTAGAGAGAGTGAACCATATCAGAGTACCTGCAAACTTTTTTATACCGAGACGGAATGAATGTAAAATATTTGGTGAAAGTTTTTTGGTTTTTATTTATATTTCAGGCAAAGGAATGTTGCTATGTTTTCTGTATGATTACTTTGCAGTTGTTACGCACCGACTGATAGTTTTTGTGTTATTGTCAGCTTTCTGATTCAAGAGCTTGTTCAGTTTTGTTCTGTCCAACGGTGAAATTATACAGTAATTAAGACCACTTGCTTGATCATGTACAGACCTGAAAACCTGTTCAGTATGTGTGTTTCACTGTGTGTGTGTGTTTGCATCATTTTGTGTATTTCATTATGTGTATTTCACTGTTTGTGTTTATGTTTCACCATGTGCGTGTTTCACTATGTGTATGTTTCACTATGTGCGTGTGTCACCATGTGTGTGTTTCACTGTGTGTGTGTGTTTCACTGTGTGTGTGTGTGTGTTTCACCATGTGCGTGTTTCACTATGTGTATGTTTCACTTTGTGTGTGTGTCATCATATGTGTGTTTCACTGTGTGTGTGTTTCACTGTGTGTGTGTTTCACTGTGTGTGTGCCAGACTATATTGTATAAAATCTTGTGGTCCTGGACTTTTGCTGTGCTATATTTTTTTCCCAGTGATCTCCAACACGTACATGGAATCTCACAGCGCGATGGCTTCACTTCACAGACACATTTTTGTAGTCAAGTCCTTTGTGAACTTTAGCTTTGTCAAGGAAGCTTTTATGTATGTGATCAGTGCAAAGTACAAGAAAAAAATATATAACCAATAACACTTTTCCCTCACTTGTTTTTGTTTTTTTAAATCATAAATGTTTTTGTGATGTGCGATCAATGACTGCAATAATAAATTGAATATCTTTCTATCAGAATGTCCACTGTGTGTTCATAGGCGTGTTGTATGACCGTATTTTTACCCACATCAATATATATAAAATAATATTTACTATGGTTAAAAAAAAAGTTTAAATGTGAACAATGCTTGCATTTGTATTATCTCTTACAAATTTCTAAATTGTGACTTGCAGCACAGTAAAAAGGCCTACTGATTTTTTATTCATATATTCTTAAATTTGGTCTTGCGTTAAAGACAGAGACACTATTGGCATGTGATTCTGAAAAAGAGAGTAAATGGAAGCTTCGAAATGTCACGTGTGTCCACTTTTACAAGTTATAGGTAATACTATTTGTAACTATAAATACAAGTTATAAGTAATATTGCTTCAAATTCAACACAAAAAGACATCTCTCTGATTCTTCTATTCAATATTTTAGATCAAAAATTTTTTCCCCCTTCAAACGGAAGAAAAAATGCCGTTTTCTACAATTTCAATATTTTGACAAGCGCCTAATTTCACCAGGATGCCTCACAAAGTGTTTTTTACACCCCATTTACACGATTAGATCATTCAGAGGGTGGGCTTCTGACCCTGCTTGTTAATGTCAGGGCCGACACTGGCTAAGAAGAATACAACATCCTAGCCAAAAGATCGAGATACTCAATTAAAATGTCCTCCCATTGGGGAATCAAACTCAAGTCTCCTGTGTGCGACAACAAAGCATCTAACTGCTACACCACAGACCATGATGTGAACACTCCAATGAGGCTAACTATAATTATAATGAATAATAAACAGCATTTGTACAGCATATATCTCCGCTCAACAGCAAGCTCTATGGGTTTTGAAACCTAAATTATTTCCCCGGCAGATCCTTAAACACTCAGCAACATTCCCAGCTACCCGGGAAGCATACACTGCAAGCAGCCGATTTAAGCGCTCAAACTCTAACAAACTGACACGCATAAAATCTTTTGCAGTCTAAAGGCGGATACTCTTTTCACTTGGATCAAGTGAGGAAAAGTTGTGTAAGTGCCCTTCCCAAGGACACAACATTGGACCCCTGACATCGTTCGAATCTCCAACCTTTTGGTAGCAAGCTCAACAGATCACGACCTCAGCGCTTTCTTGTCGTAACTCCATTTTTTTTTAAACAGTGAAAATGTGACTTCTTCTTAAGCTCACTCTTTGTTATGAACTGTTTTCACAGTTATTAAAAATGGAGATAGGACAAGAAAGCAACGAGGTAGCGACATTACAGAGGCTGGTAATTGGAAACTTGGAGACCCCCAGATGAGAGACCCCCAAAGTGTTACCCTCTTGTCCACTTCTTTTTTAGTTTTAGCCTGTCATTATGGCTCTCACAACACAAAAGGGTCTTATAAATGCCGAAGATTAGAGGTGTTACTAGAGAAGATTAGAGGTGTTACAAAGAAAAGAAGGAGGGAGAAGGACGATGGATGTTGAACAGGAAAGCAGGCACAAACCACACCAGAGCCAGGTTTCTAGTTACTGGATGTAAAACTGTCTCTTACTCATTTTGTATCCTTACTATAGCAAGGTTTGGTTTTATGTACAGAACATCCAGCTATTGAGATGTTTTCAGTTTTGCTCAAATCATAAGGAGGACTTCGGTAAATACTGGGAATTTTTTAATATATATATAAAGTTTTCCCAAAACAAAAAAATACTTTTTAAAAGCAATTGTGTGTCAAGAGAGACAAAGAATACATAGAAACCCATCTGGACTGAGAACTCGGGTCCACTTTCTTTTTGTTTAGGGTTTTGAGCTCCCCGTCCTCACGTCTGGAACGCAGGACGGAAAGTGAAAGTCACTTTGGTCTCTATATAGGCAAAGAAACAATAACCATAACCACAAAAAATAGAAGATTGTGATCTTTATTTCGAAGAGAAATATATACCACTGATATAATTGAATCAAGAAAACAGTTGTTAAAATAGCTCATG